TTATTTTGTTGAGTATTACACATTGGGTCCTGTTAGTCCGGAAATTGTAGATCCATCTGCCTACTTTTCCAGTAATTCCTTTTGAATGCATTTTGTATGCAATAACACTATGGTCACAATTGTCAAGGGCTTTTGAAAAATCTATGTAAATTACATCAGCGTTTTGCTTGTCTTCCACGACATCTAATGCCATATCATAGTGGTCCAGCAACTGTGATAGACAAGAGTGTCCTGTTCTGAAACCATGTTGTCCAGTGCTATGGAGATGCTGTGATTCCATGTATTTTGTGATCTTGCTTCTTAACACTCTATCAAAGATTTTTATGATGTATGATGTTAGTGCAATTTTAATTTTTATTTTTTGCCTCTGCCTTATTTCCTCATTTATGAAGTGGTGCTATCTCTGCTGTTTTTAGTAACAACTTTTATGTTCAAATGGCCAAATATCCAACAAAACACTGTAAATCCTGGTGAAGAATCGAGGCGGGATAGTCACTGGGTGCGAGGCACTGGTAAACTGAGCGGCGATCGCCGTGCTACCACGTGCTAGTTGACCCGTACGCGTATCAACACCCTCGTATCTTGATACAAATTTTCCGAGCAAATCCTGCTCGTAACCCGAAAAACTCGTAACCAGGGGCGCTCGTAAGCCGAGGTACCATTGTATCTACATTTGTGTTTACCATAGCGAACCACTAAGCTGGTATAGTAAGTGTAGACAGTAAGAGGTGGCCAGACAGATTTGGCAGGTGACGCTACAGCCCTCCCACCCTCATCATTACTCTTTCCATAGCACAGTGCAAATTTTCACAACAATCCTGCTATTATCAGAATCCTGGTCATTTTTATCACAGTCAGGGGTCTTCTGTAACAATCATCGGTAAATAATACCAGTTACGTATATTTTTTACATTTTTAGGTGATGCTGTGGTCACAAGCTGAACAGCAGTGCTGTGAGGAGCTCAAGCTGAGTGCACCAGCCTTGGTGGCTCACTCAGTACTGAGGCTTTAACTTAAAGCCCAGGGAATGTTGCCCATGATTTAAAAAAAAAAATGGCGTCTGTTTACAAGAGCCCTGAGGAAGCTGATGTGAACCCTGTGTAGTCGCGGGCTGTTTAAATCTTGCGCGGTACTCCTAAATGTCATATGAAGTGGTGCGCACTTTGGCATCAGTTACTCAACAGGTCATATGAAGTCTTGTGAAGTTTAAGGGTTAACAGCTCAGTGCAGATGAGTGTGTCTTTGATGTACAGGCTGACCCCACCCTGTAGCCTTTGTTTCCTGTCACATCTGAAAAGATTGTACTTTGAAATCCATATTTCACCACCTTGGTAGCCCTTGTGTGGGTTTTCGTTATGGCTGCATTTGCCTCCTGTAGGAGGCCAGCTACAAAGTGGACCTTGTTAGATTTGTTTTTTTATACCCTGAATGTTGGCAAATAAAAATGATGTTGTTATGTTTGTGGAAGTGGTGGATGCTTTACTTGGTGTTAATATCTGAGGCTCTGGTAGGGAGGCCGCTGTGTTTGTCTCCTCTAGCATTTAACCGAGTTGGTGGTAGAGTTTGGACATTTCTTAGCCATTCTTCTCCTCTTGCTAAAAAAAACATCCTGGTAAGTAGTGTTGTGGCTGCTTTCATTGAGGAGGTCTGTTGGTTTTATTTACCTGGTATCTTTTATATGAAAAGCTGGACATTCTGTGTTAAAACATTCATTCTTATTTAGAGTTTTTGCACAATTCTGGGTGATAAAAAAATCAGTTTTTGGTACAGTTGTCTGTATTAAGGTTTCTGCACTTAATGGGATGATCATATTTACATATTCCATTTGTTCTTCCCGATGTCCCAATTATAATATTGGCAGGTTTTGGGTCCTTGTTTGGTTTCAAAAACCCTGGTGCCAATATTGTGCCCAAGTCACTCACTGAGTGTGTGTATGGGTTAAGAGAGGGAGTTTAAGCTTTCACTACCTACTATATCCATTGTTCATTTCTTACCTTTAGTAAGAATACCTTTAGTATAGCATAACCAAACAAACATTGCATCAGCCAGAAAAATGATAGGATGGATTACGAGAACCTTCAAATCCAGGGATCATATCACAGTGGTTGTACTCTTCAAATCACTTGTTGTCCCATCTTGAGTACCACTCGATATTCACTTTCCCCTTTCAGAGCAGGAGAGATTGCTGAAATAGAGGAAATACAGAGAACACACATGGAATGCATAGATGCGATAAAGCACCTAAATTATTGGGATTGTCTCAAAGCTCTCCAAATGTACTTATTAGAAAGGAGACGAGAGAGAAATACCAATAATATACACATGGAAAATACTGGAGGGCCAGGTCCCAAATCTACACGGTAAAATCACATCGTACTGGAGTGAATGATATGGAAGAAAATGCAGAACAGAACCAATGAAGAGCAGAGATAACATAGGCACAATCAGAGAACACTGTATAAACATTAGAGGTCCGTGGATGTTCAACGTCCTACCAGCGACTAAGAAATATTGCCGGAACAACTGTGGACATCTTAAAGAGAAAACTAGACTGTTTTCTAAAAAAAAAGGTGCCGGACCAACTGGGCTGTGGTGGGTATGTGGGCCTGCAGGCAGCTCCAAGCAACAGCCTGGTGGACCAAACTCTCACAAGTCAAGCCTGGCCTCGGGCCGAGTTTGGGGAGTAGAACTCCCAGACCCCCATCAAGCAGGTATCGTAGTATCCACTCAATTTAACGGCCTCTTTTATACCGATCTGAATGTAATAACGACCGATTTGGGAGACCGGTATTTAGAGCCTCATAATGATCTGGCGGTCGATATTACCGAAGGTTGGTATTGGGTTTGTTTTGGCATCAGGGGGGGGGTCCTCGCATGGCAAGCAGGCCGCCTACTTCTATCGTCCCCTCCCCTCACCCTCGCTGCACTTCTCTCCCACTCCCTGCCTCCCCCCCACTCCCTCACTTCCTGCCTCCCCCCACCTGCCTGGAGAATCTCCATCTAATACAATAAAGCATTCATGAAACAAGTATTTTATAATTTTTTATCATCCTAATAATATTAATAAACAAAATCTGTAACCAAAAATATATATTATGATGTACATCCAAAATTTTAAGAAACAAATCTGGTTAACTGGGTCAAGTGTATAAAGTCTTATCAGAGTGAGCCGGTCCTTCCCCACCACCGACACACTTCCCTCACCCGCCCCCCCCATACATCCCATACATAGGCTCTCTCTGCTTCACCTCAACTTGACACCCATCCCTCCATCCCTCCCTTCCCTCCCTCCCTCCCTCCCTCCCTCCCTCCCTCCCTCCCTTCCCTCCCTCCCTCCCTCTCTCCCTTCCCTCCCTCCCTCCCTTCCCTCCCTCCCTCCCTTCCCTCCCTCCCTTCCCTCCCTCCCTCCCTCCCTCCCTCCCTCCCTCCCTCCCTCCCTCCCTCCCTTCCCTCCCTCCCTCCCTCTCTCCCTTCCCTCCCTCCCTCCCTTCCCTCCCTCCCTCCCTTCCCTCCCTCCCTTCCCTCCCTCCCTCCCTCCCTCCCTCCCTCCCTCTCTCCCTTCCCTCCCTTCCCTCCCTCCCTCCCTCCCCTCCCTCCCTCCCTCCCTCCCTCCCTCCCTCCCTTCCCTCCCTCCCTCCCTTCCCTCCCTCCCTCCCTCCCTCCCTCTCTCCCTCCCTCCCTCCCTCCCTTCCCTCCCTTCCCTCCCTCCCTTCCCTCCCTCCCTCCCTTCCCTCCCTCCCTCCCTCTCTCCCTTCCCTCCCTCCCTTCCCTCCCTCCCTTCCCTCCCTCCCTTCCCTCCCTTCCCTCCCTTCCCTCCCTCCCTCCCTCCCTCTCCCTCCCTCCCTCCCTCCCTCCCTCCCTCCCTCCCTCCCTCCCTCCCTCCCTCCCTCCCTCCCTCCCTCCCTCCCTCCCTCCCTTCCCTCCCTTCCCTCCCTCCCCTCCCTCCCTTCCCTCCCTCCCCCCTCCCTCCCTCCCTCCCTCCCTCCCTCCCTCCCTCCCTCCCTCCCTCCCTTACCTCCCTCCCTCCCTTCCTTCCATCCCTCCCTCCCTTACCTCCCTCCCTCCCTCCCTTACCTCCCTCCCTCCCTTCCTTCCATCCCTCCCTCCCTCCCTCCCTCCCTCCCTTACCTCCCTCCCTTCCTTCCTTCCATCCCTCCCTCCCTCCCTCCCTTCCTTCCATCCCTCCCTCCCTTACCTCCCTCCCTTCCTTCCTTCCATCCCTCCCTCCCTCCCTCCCTTCCTTCCATCCCTCCCTCCCTTACCTCCCTCCCTCCCTTCCTTCCATCCCTCCCTCCCTTACCTCCCTCCCTTCCTTCCTTCCATCCCTCCCTCCCTCCCCTCCCTCCCTCCCTCCCTCCCTCCCTCCCTCCCTCCCTCCCTCCCTTACCTCCCTCCCTCCCTTCCTTCCATCCCTCCCTCCCCTCCCTCCCTCCCTTCCTTCCATCCCTCCCTCCATCTCCATCTTACCATCCATCTCCATCCTCTCCCTCCCTGCCTACCTCCCAACCTCTCCCTGCCTGCCCATCCACCCACCAGTCAGCCATCACTGACACAATGAGTGCATTTGGAGCCAACATGGTGCACGGATGTTCCTTGATTGTGCAGATATGTCCAACAAAGTCACGGAATGAACACTTCAGCCTCTTGACAAATCAAAACAATGTGCAGTGAGTCTGTCACATCACAGGGTAGAAGGCACTAGAGTGGTGGACCAGGTGGCAGTCTACAAAATATATCTTACCTGAATGTTACTTGAAAAATTTTCGACACTTGACTTCGGAAATACCGGAGCTCCGGAAATAACGACCAGGGTACAGCCCCATATAGGCCGTTAAATCGAGTGGATACTACATAATTTTGGTAAATAATATTGTTTTCCTATGTGTATAAATGTACTGTTACTATTCATTATTTTCCACTGTTCTAAATTATCAGTGTTTTCTGTTTGAAATGAATGCATAATCTGAGGTTAATTTCCACTTTTTTTTTTAAATTAACAGAACTTTTGACGAGATTGAAGTGAGACCGAAGCCTCACCTCAATTTCATCATTGGACCCAATGGTACAGGAAAGTCGACCATTTTGTGTGCCATCTGCATATGTCTGGGAGGCAAACCAGCTGTAACTGGCCGAGGCAAGGAGGTGAGGAACCCTAGCTTACAATTCCTATTATTAAAAAAGTTATAATATTAAAGTAATACAGTACTGGTAATAATAACAGCACTATAAATATACATTATTATAGTAAATGTACTTCAGTATACTATAATTTGTTCCTAAATTCTTGTAAATCCAAATATTTAAGATTTTATCATCAATTAAATCCTCTTTTATACACATATATTTAATGTACAGCCTGTATTTGTAATAAGCAAAAATCCATTATGTACTTAAAGTAAAATATTATTTCCCAATGTTTTCCTGATGTGTAGAAATACTGCTTTAACCACTGCACTGCGCAAAGCGCCTTTAGGCGCTCAGAGAGTTGTGCTTTTTGTTTTTTAATTTGGCTATATTTTAATGTTTTTTAATGTTTTCATTACTATTTGTGTTTTGAAATGGAAATAGTTGACTTTGGAAACATTTTGACATTAAATTTACCCGAACATTTGTAAAAATAACAAAAATATGTCCTTGACAATTGCACCAAGACGTTTTTGCCGAAAATAGGTGAGCAGTGCAAGGGTTAAAAAACAATTGCAGTTGGACAGCAATATTTTATCATTCAGCACAACCTGGATCTAAGTCTATATAAAAGTTCATAAATTCAATAATGTACTAAGTAGATCCACTAAATTCAAAATTTGTCTGGTTCTGGTACTTGCTGTCATCTTTCGGTGACAGGATTAAATGTCATCTTGTGGTAGCACCAAAAAATCCAGCATTGATTGTAATGTGTGACATGCATTCCTCCTCCTCCTTAGTGTCACTGTCACCCAAGAGGATCCCAATCGTAAGCACATGAGGGGTCACTCACTAAGTCTCACCTCCTATGAGAAGTGAGATAAAGCTGAGAGCCCTTGCATAGGCCTCCTCTTGCCACAGATTGCGAGCTTCCCTCGTCCACAGTTGCCCAGGAAATGGCCTGGTCACCTGCAATCACTGCTGTCAGGGTACCCATGCTTTAGCCATCACAAAGGTACTTCACAGCAAGTTTGCCAGTTTGGCTTCAGCTGCCAAATATCAGTGGGGGGGGGGGGGAGGTAGGCTACATACCCCGAATATTGTAACTGTTATGCCTCTTCCCACACTAAAATCATTTCTCTGTCATTATGTCTTAGCACGGTGTAAATGTGTATACTCAGCTCATTGCCCAAGGCCATTGGTAGGCAAATGGAGAACGGATTGCATGAAACACCAAAATATAAGAATTTATTGACATTTAATAACTGACATATAAATGACATAAGACAAGTAAATTAAATAATGTATGGACTTTGGCAACACTTATGAAATATCACACTGTCTGGATGTGTAATCATTGTGGACAACTGTGGACGAGGGAGGCTCGCAATCTGTGGCAAGAGGAGGCCTATGCAAGGGCTCTCAGCTTTATCTCACTTCTCTGGCAACACCGCCTGGTTGATACCTGGTTGATACCTGGTTGATGGGGTTCTGGGAGTTCTTCTACTCCCCAAGCCCGGCCCGAGGCCAGGCTCGACTTGTGAGAGTTTGGTCCACCAGGCTGTTGCTTGGAGCGGCCCGCAGGCCCACATACCCACCACAGCCCGGTTGGTCCGGCACTCCTTGGAGGAATAAATCTAGTTTCCTCTTGAAAATGTCCACGGTTGTTCCAGCAATATTTCTTATGCTTGCTGGGAGGACGTTGAACAACCGCGGACCTCTGATGTTTATACAGTGTTCTCTGATTGTGCCTATGGCACCTCTGCTCTTCATTGGTTCTATTCTACATTTTCTTCCATGTCGTTCACTCCAGTACGTTGTTATTTTACTGTGTAGATTTGGTACTTGGCCCTCCAGTATCTTCCAGGTGTATATTATTTGATATCTCTCTCGTCTTCTTTCTAGTGAGTACATTTGGAGGGCTTTGAGACGATCCTCTCAGAGACGGGCCTGGTGCTAGTGCCTTTGGAATTTACTGGTTATTTATTCAAGTGCAATTAATCAAAACTTATGTCATGTCAAGTGATCAAGAATAACTTACCAGACAGTTACTGCATTAACTCTAAACAAACAAATTATTGAACTCGTCAAGAATACTGAAAAGTTAAAAATAATGATTACACATTAGGCTCCTCTGGCCTGTAGTTCTTACTTTAACCAAAATTACATATAAATGCACACAAGTATAAACAACAACAACATGGTTATAATAATAATTGATAGCCAACAGTTATAAATATGTTCCTTGGGAAAGCTAACACAAGGAGGGAGGGAGGGGGATTTATGAATGAGATTTTATTTATATTTGGGGACACTAATACAAATGTATTAGTATTAGTGATACTAATATCAGTATTATACTAATAATACTAATAATGATACTAATAATAGTATTAGTGTATTATTATTAGACACTAATACAAATGTATTAGTGTCAACCAGTGAGGCTTCAGCAGCTGGCAGTCAAAATTAACTTTGCTTAATGAACTGTACAGTAATTTTAAGTGTTAATTTTAGTGTTGTGTTAGTATAGGTTACATAAATTGTCAAGAATTCTTAACTTCAAGATGTGTGGCATCAATCAAGAAGATGAACAAGTAGTAGTTAGTTGATGTTTCTAGTTGAATATTTAATAATTATATGTGGCAAGGCAATTCAAATTATGTTGTTTGTAGTATAAAAATAGTTGGAAATGGTCACTTTTGGACCTTTGGACTTGAAGGTGAAAAAGTACCATTATCGGGAATACGTGATAATCCGGCTGGGGGTCCTTCCCATATAGCCCGGATAATCAAGTGGAGACGGTAGTTAGGGTATCCATATCAGCCTTGGATAGCTCCGGGGAGCTTCTGGGACTCGCCCAGAAAATGGCGTTTCATTACATTCAACTTTTTTTTTTTTTAATCAGGCCACTTGTGTGGATTTGTATTATGTGTATTTATAACTTTTCAGTTGGCGGACTATGTGAAGCATGGGAAAGAAATATCAACACTCGAGACCGAGTTATACACGGAAAACACAAGGTAAGCATTATTTTATGCCCCATTTTCAATACTTCAGCTTTAGTTTGACATAGTGCAATGTTGGAGCTGTTTATTACACATTGTGGTTCATGTTTAATTGGGTAATATTTAGTAGCTCAGAAGGTGATGGATGAACAGATTGATGTATAGAATTGTGCACTCCATTTTACCCCTACCAGTGTTTTGTTGGCACATGTTTTGAAATAAATTTAAAGTGGTTTCTACTAATATTTGCATCTCATTTCAGCTGTAATGTTGTTATCAAGAGGCAGTTTGATCGCAAGAATAAGTCGGTGTGGTTTTTGCAAGGCAAGGAGGTGCCAAAGAAAATAGTAAGATTAGATGCTTTTGTTCAGAATTTCCTCTGGTAAAGATTCTCTCACTTATCCTCATATCTCCTATTGGATGTCATTTACCAATTTGTAGTTCTATACATGTATAAAATGATTATTAAGAACTTTCACTGAAACAGGCTGTACAGTTTGTGTTTATGGAATTAGAGGCCTAATGGGGTGACTCACAGGTGCTTTAATGATCCGACTTAAAAATTCCTTAATGGGCTGACTTACAGATGCTTGAATGGCCCGACTCCCTTTATCATTCTTGACTGTCAGTCTTATGGTCTGATTCTCGGGTGCTTGAATGGGCGGAATGAGATTTGTTCATTGGCCAGAGCTCTGTGTATGAGAGCGACAGGTTGTACTCATCTTGGGATGGGGTAGTAACCTTAGTAGGCTCTCTGACAGTAGTTAGCAGGACTATAAACTTATATCTAGAGGTCTGGGTGTGAATGATAAGAAGGTAGCACACGACATTATAGGAACAGGACAGAAGAATGAAAAATAGTGGAGGGCATGTGAAGAGTTTGGTTAAAAATATTATGGGTAGACAACACCCTTAACCCTTCCACTGCGTAATCTCCAGTGATGTTCTTGCCGATTATCTGACTGGGCAACTGGCCAAGGATGTTTTAACGTACCATGTAAGATTTGTAAGTCCAGCAGGGTAAATGGGCCAACCAGACGATGCCCAGGGGCAAAATTAAACAACTGCTATCTAGGAAAAAATGAGTATGCTGCATTGGCACGAAGGCATCAGTTTATATATAAGTTACCATAGTTGATGCATGATCCTCCATTACTCAATGCCTTTCTGTGGCTCATTAAACAGAACTGCTGACTGATGATGAAGTTCAGAAAAAAAGCGATGGAAACAGTCGAGGCAAGTAACATGGATGATTCTGACATTGATGAGGATTGCACACAGGGCTCAGAAAAGTGATACATACAGTGATATAGATGCACATGTGACCATCTCCAGGGGTGAGGACTACACCATCACCACTCCCATTGTAAGACAGGCCATGCAGGACTATGCAACATATTATTGTAGGCTGCAAACATCATGTGGAAGTTGACTCAATTTCTGGATTTAGTGAAGGAATCCGATTAGTAGCTTTAGTAGTGCTGTGGCTAGAGTCATTGGTGTAAGTGGTGTTACTGTACCAGGTGAAGCCCTGCTTTGTCAGCTGCTCACCCAGTCAGTTGCTGGCATGTGATGCTGCATGGGGAAATTGAGGGAAGAATGTATTCATCTTCAACTGTTATGCTCTCATTTTCTCTCTTTGTACCTGAAGTATGCATAAGAGGAGGGCTTCATCTCCTAGCCAGCATAGCTTTGTTAGTGGTAGGATATATGACCGTGGATAAAACCCACACTTACGTATTTGTGAATTTCATGTAAAGATTTACACCGTCTTTTACACTCTCCCGAGTGCTTTGTCAAGGTCGTATGTACAGTATGTGGTTTGGATGAGACTTACATCTTGACGACTAATGCAGCTGCTGTCCTGGGTCCAATCCTTTTATCATTCTTGACTGCCTGACCATGTCGCCTCTCTTCCAGATTGTCGATGTACCTGCATTGATGTCGTCATTGGAATTATGATCAGGAGCTCTTTCTGTCATCCTGATATTCAGATATCAGGATGGTGGGAAGTTAGTTGTTAAAGTTGTTATTAATAGAGATGTTTATCTGGATGCTATCCCTCGTAACTCCCTCCATACACAAAGGAAAGCGGCTATTGGGACTTCTATCTCGGTTATCTTCATGATTTTGGGGCTTAGCGTCCCCGCGGCCCGATCCTCGACCAGGCCTTCTTTTTGTTACACACGCCCCCTGGAAGCAGCCTGTAGTGGCTGTCTAACTACCAGATACCTATTTACTGCTAGGTGAACAGGTGCATTAGGGTGAAAGAAACTCTGCCCATTTGTTTCCGCCTCCGCCGAGGATCGAACCCGGAACCTTAAGACTACAAATCCCTAGCGCTGTCCACTCAGCCATTGGGCCTCTATTTACATTCATACAATGAAATCATATTAATTTAACACTTTGGCGTTTTGGGCGTGCGCACGCCAGACTACCCCAAGGTGGCCTGGGCATTTCCTGTGAGAGCGTGGCAACACTGGAATGTGTGTACTCTTTCTGGTTTTATCACCTCAATTTTCGTTGTACATCATTCATTTTGTTATAAAAATGTTCGCAATAGAATTCACCAGAGGAGTATATGCATATAAGGTCCAAGAGCCCGACATGCCACCCGTACCAAGCCTAGAAATCGGCCGTGCGTTATCCGTGAGCGCGCAAGAGCAATTCAATGTGTATACTTCTTTAATTTTTCTCGCCTCAATTCTCGTGCTATGTCTTTCATTTTGGTATCAATTTGTTCACAATAGAATTCCCTACAGGGGTATATGCATACAAGGTCCAAAAGCCCGGCACACCCCACCCACAGCAAAGCCAAAATTCGGCCAAGTGTTATCCGTGAGCCAGTACCCATTAGCACACCAGCAACACCCGCTCACAAATGTATTTACTCTTTTCAAGTCTCTCGCCTCAATTTTCATCTCGGTTTGCAATAGAATGGGAAGACGTTGGTGTACATTTTAAAACCAGTCCCATGAAGATCGGATAAAAACTTGAATTTTAACAAATAATTTAATTTTGGACGTCACCTACGTCCCTAAGGAATATTCAGAGTTATTTGTGGACGTCATCTCCGTCCCTAAAGAATGAAAGTGTTAATTTAACACTTTCGTTCTTTAGGGACGTAGGTGACGTCCAAAATTAAAACATTTGTTAAAATTCAATTTTTTATCCGATCTTCATGGGACTGGTTTTAAAATGTGCACCAATGTCTTCCCATTCTATTACAAGCCGAGGTGAAAATTGTGGTGAGAGACTTGAAAAGAGTAAATACATTTGTGAGCGGGTGTTGCTGGTGTGCCAATGGGTGCTGGCTCACGGATAATGCTTGGCCGACTTTTGGATGAAATGATATAACAAAAGGGATGTATACAAGATTTAAAATATTTCAACACAAAATAGAACTTGGAAAATGGATATAAATTGGATAAGCTAAGATTCAGGCAAGATCTGGGTAAATACTGGTTTAGAAATGGTTGTTAATTTTAGAAACAAATTACCATGTAACATAATAGATGTGGGATCACTGGGTAGTTTCAAGTGTGGGTTGGACATGCATATGAATGATTTTGGGTGAATATAAATAGAAGCTGCCTCGTTAGCCAATAAACCTTCTGCATCTTCCTGTATTCTTAGCCTTTTATGTTTCTCTACATCAAGAAATAGATAGGTACTCATTTGAAAGAAAAAGAAACAGGATATATCTTAGAAAGAGATCTAAGATCAGGAGTAATAACATGCTTGTCATAATTGTCTTGTAATCATTGCAGATTGAAGCCAAGATTGCAGCGCTCAACATACAGGTGGACAACCTCTGCCAGTTCCTCCCTCAGGACAGGGTTGCCAACTTTGCCAAGATGAATAAAGTTCAACTGTTGGAGGCAACTGAAAAGGCTGTTGGTATGTTGATGGCTTGTGGGAGTCACTATAATGACTCTCACAAGCCATCAACACACTATAATGTGTTGATGGCTTGTGGGAGTTGTTACAGTGTGTTGATAGCTTGTGGAAGTCATTATAGTGTGTTGGTGGCTTGTGGAAGTCATTATAGTGTGTTGATGGCTTGTGGGAGTCATTATAGTGTGTTGATGGCTTGTGGGAGTCATTATAGCATGTTGATGGCTTGTGGGAGTCATTATAGTGTGTTGATGGCTTGTGGGAGTCATTATAGCGTGTTGATAGCTTGTGGAAGTCATTATAGTGTGTTGATGGCTTGTGGGAGTCGTTACAGTGTGTTGATGGCTTGTGTTTTGGGAGGCATTGTAATGTACTGAAGGATTGTGGGTCATTAGTATGTTGTTGACTTGTTTTGTGAGTCATAATGTGTTGATGCATATGTTGTGGGAGACATTATTGGGCGTTGATAAAAATAATAATAATAATAATAATAATAATGTATTCACAAGAAGGTACAATGGGTTCATGAGATTACATAAGACTGGTTTTTGTACATTCTTGCAAAAGTCTCTAACATGCATAGCGTTTCGGACAGGATGGCTTGTGGGAATCAGTATTGTTTGTTGATGGCTTGTATTTTGGGAGTCATTATAGTGTGCTGATGGTTGATGTTGTGTGTGTCATTATACTATGTTAATGGCTTGTTTTGTGGAGGTCATTATACCATAGTTGTTGAGGGATGGAGTTTGGAATTAATTTCTGTCTTATACTGTCAGCCCAGAACGTAACCAGAAAAGTGCTTTTTATAAACGTAAAATCCTTTCTAATAGCAACATTGTAAGACAGCGATATCCTATCTGTCTTTGTAAACTACCTAACAACCCATGGATTACTACCTTCAACTGTCTTAAGTAGGGAGAAGATAAGAGAATACTGTATAGATCCCCGACCGAACTTCATGTTTACGTATCAAACCAGGTAATGTGTTTCCTTTCTCAATCAGGTGATGCCAGTCTGTATGAACACCATGAACTTCTGCGTTCCAGTGGCCAAAGAATGCAGGAGTTACTGGCAAGAGTGGCGGAAATAGAGAATCAACTGGATACAGACATCAAAAGAAATGCTCGGTCAGTGTGTGTAATTACTTAAGTGTAGTTACAGGATGAGAGCTACGCTCGTGGTGTCCCGTCTTCCCAGCACTCTGTCATATAACGCTTTGAAACTACTGACGGTTTTGGCCTCCACCACCACCTCACCTAACTTGTTCCAACCGTCTACCACTCTGTTTACAAAAGTGAATTTTCTTATATTTCTCCAGCAGCTTTGTTTCGTTAGTTTAAATCTATGACCTCTTGTTCTTGAAGTTCCAGGTCTCGGGAATTCTTCCCCTATCAATTTCATCGATTCCTGTTACTATTTTGTACGTAGTGATCATATTGCCTCTTTTCTTTCCTTCTATCTTCTAGTTTTTGCATATTAATGCCTCTAACCTCTCCTCGTAGCTCTTGCCCTTCAGTTCTGGGAGCCACTTAGTGGCATGTCCTTGCACCTTTTCCAGTTTGTTGATGTGTTCTTAAGATATGGGCACCACACAACCGCTGCATATTCCAGCTTTGGTCTAACAAAAGTCGTGAACAATTTCTTTAGTATTTACCCATCCATGTATTTAAAAGCAATTCTGAAGTTAGAAAGCATAGCATAGGCTCCTTGCACAATGTTCTTAATGTGGCCCCTCAGGTGATGGTTTTCTATCTAGAACCACCCCTAGATATCTTTCTTTATTAGAATTCTTTAAAGAATTCTCACATAATTTATAGGTTGTGTGGGGATTATGTTCTCCTATTCCACATACCATAACATGGCATTTATTCACATTAAATTCCATTTGCTAAGTGGTGCTCCATATACTTATTTTGTCTAGGTCTTGAAGGGCATAACAATCATACAAGTTTTTATCCTTATTATCTTGGCATCATCAGCAAACATGTTTATATAATTCTGTCTTCTATCTGGTAGATCATTTATGTAGATAATGAGCATCACCGGTGCAAGAACTGAACCCTGTGGTACTCCTAATGGGACTCCTAATGGGAGCCAGTCGGCCGAGCGGACAGCACGCTGGAGTTGTGATCCTGTGGTCCTGGGTTCGATCCCAGGCGCCGGCGAGAAACATTTAAAATATTTTCTTAAAGTTTCGTCTCTGTTAATATGACAGTATCTGGGACTTTGAGCTGAATTATATCCTTCAACTCCAATATTTTTTATCTCGTTCCATCTATGTTGGTATATACTATTTTCAGGAATATGTTCCCCTTCCCTTTTTTCTTTACACCTTTTAATGATTTTGTTGCTTTGTCTTTATGTACCATTTCACAAGCTTCCCAGTCCTTGACACTTTGTAGTATGTGTGCGCTGTTCAAAACCTCCTTATGATTTTATCAATACAATGGCTCTAATATTTATAGTAATTTAGGTATATTTAAAAATGTAACAATGTTGTCAACATAGGACATGTTTCCCCTGTTGTCAACATGGGGCATGTGGCCCTATTGTCAACATGGGGCCCTATTGTCAACATGGGGCATGCGGCCCTGTTGTCAACATGGGGCATGCGGCCCTGTTGTCAACATGGGGCATGCGGCCCTGTTGTCAACGCGGGGCATGCGGCCCTGTTGTCAACGTGGGGCATGCGGCCCTGTTGTCAACGTGGGGCATGCGGCCCTGTTGTCAACGCGGGGCATGCGGCCCTGTTGTCAACGTGGGGCATGCGGCCCTGTTGTCAACGCGGGGCATGCGGCCCTGTTGTCAACGCGGGGCATGCGGCCCTGTTGTCAACGCGGGGCATGCGGCCCTGTTGTCAACGCGGGGCATGCGGCCCTGTTGTCAACGCGGGGCATGCGGCCCTGTTGTCAACGCGGGGCATGCGGCCCTGTTGTCAACGCGGGGCATGCGGCCCTGTTGTCAACGCGGGGCATGCGGCCCTGTTGTCAACGCGGGGCATGCGGCCCTGTTGTCAACGCGGGGCATGCGGCCCTGTTGTCAACGCGGGGCATGCGGCCCTGTTGTCAACGCGGGGCATGCGGCCCTGTTGTCAACGCGGGGCATGCGGCCCTGTTGTCAACGCGGGGCATGCGGCCCTGTTGTCAACGCGGGGCATGCGGCCCTGTTGTCAACGCGGGGCATGCGGCCCTGTTGTCAACGCGGGGCATGCGGCCCTGTTGTCAACGCGGGGCATGCGGCCCTGTTGTCAACGCGGGGCATGCGGCCCTGTTGTCAACGCGGGGCATGCGGCCCTGTTGTCAACGCGGGGCATGCGGCCCTGTTGTCAACGCGGGGCATGCGGCCCTGTTGTCAACGCGGGGCATGCGGCCCTGTTGTCAACGCGGGGCATGCGGCCCTGTTGTCAACGCGGGGCATGCGGCCCTGTTGTCAACGCGGGGCATGCGGCCCTGTTGTCAACGCGGGGCATGCGGCCCTGTTGTCAACGCGGGGCATGCGGCCCTGTTGTCAACGCGGGGCATGCGGCCCTGTTGTCAACGCGGGGCATGCGGCCCTGTTGTCAACGCGGGGCATGCGGCCCTGTTGTCAACGCGGGGCATGCGGCCCTGTTGTCAACGCGGGGCATGCGGCCCTGTTGCCAGCGCGAGGCATGTACCTACACATAGTGAGAAAGAAAACACACATTCCGCAGGTTGAAGGATGCTGTCGAGAACCACGAAACCAAAACCCAGTTGGAGGAGTGCATCAAGAAGCTGCAGAAGCAACAGATGTGGTTTGATTATGACGAGAAGCGCAAGGTTGGTGACATTACCATGCTTAATGTTTGGCCTAGGGTTTGCATGGTTACAAGTAATGATTACTTTGTTTACTAAAATTCAATACAAAGGTTTTTACACAAAAAGGTCTTTCTATAATTTTGTATTAAATATATTTAAGGTCTCAAGTTATTCAAAGTCATTCAGTTGTTCCCAGCAGACCCTATTTCTTTAATGCTAAATGAGCAATCTTTAATGCTCATTTCTGTGGGTAGCCCTGTTGGCTCCCTGAAGCTATCATACACTGATCAGTGCATACTACTTGGTGCCATCAGTTGTGGAGTTCTATTTGCCTACAGGGGTGGTTTTGCGAGGGCTCGAGTTTCGCTAGGTAGAGGTGTGCCACTGGTGCCAGTTTCGTAGTCGGTAGGTCCTTTGGAGCACTCTTCGTCTGGCAGGTACGGTGGTCACTCTGTTTGGAAGTCAGCTTCTTGGAGGTCATATCGGCTCTCTCGGGGTGCCTTTTGACAAGGTGATAGGGGGAGGCTGGCTTTTTATGCTCACGTTTGGTCCCACGATTTGGGGGCTTTTCACATCGTCTCTTCCAGCCTTTGGTGGTGTTGGGCAGCTCCTCCGCCTTTGTGGGGTTCGGGGTTGGCAGGGCAGACTTCTTTTCCGTCTGTCGGGTCATCTTGGTGTGAGTTCACTTGGGTGTGGTTGGAACAACTTTGTCCTTTAAGTGAGTTTTGCACTTGTTTTCCAGTTCCAAACAGGACTGTGTGGATCTTTGGTTCATTCTGGACTTGTTCCGTCTGAATCGTTTGATTCCTTGCCCCTCCTTTCGGATGACTATGTTGTTTTAGGTTCGGCTTCTTCTCGAGCCGGGCGTATGGATGATTTCTCTGGACCTCAGGAATGCGTATTGGCACATTCCAATTCATCCGGGGTTCAGGGATCTTGAGGTTATCTTGAGATGATTTCGGGGCTTAGCGTCCCCGCGGCCCAGTCCTCGACCAGGCCTCCTTTTTGTTACACACCCCCAAGAAGCAGCCCGTAGCAGCTGTCTAACTCCCAGGTCTCAATTTACTGCTAGGTAACAGGGGCATCAGGGTGAAAGAAACTTTTTTTTCCCATTTGTCTCCACCTCCACCGGGGATTGAACCCAGAACCTCAGGACTACGAATCCGAAGCGCTGTCCACTCGGCTATCAGGCGCCCGTGGGGATGTCGGGATTGGTGGGGTTTTGTGGTCAGGCTTCAGGTTTTCCACTTTTGTTGCCTTCCATTTGGGTTGAATCTGGCACTGCTCGTATTCATGCATTTAACACTTTCGCTCACCCCGCACGCCACCCCTCAATAGTGCGATATGGGACCCAAGGTGTCACGGGAGCGCGCGTAAATTCTGAAAAGTGTATACTCTCCAACTTTGTCACCTTAATTCTCGTCCTACGAGATTAAATTTGGTATCATTGTGTTCACAATAGAATTCTCTACAGCACTAAATGCATATAAACTCCAAAAGCCCGGCTAATTACCCGCAGCAAACAGAGAAAGTGCCAACGAGTTACCCAGGAGCGTGCAAACGCGATAAAATGTTTTCACTATTTTCACTCTGGTCACCTCAATTTTTGTCCTAGGTCTTTCATTTTGGTCTCAATGGGTTCACAATAGAATTCTCTAGAGGAACACTAGCATATAAAATATAAAACCTGGTCACGCTCCAACCGCCGACGAGTTGAAGACGGGCCACGCGTTAGCCGGGAGTGAGCGCTCAGACGCCTTCCAGCTACACTCCCAATTCCCTCCCTTTTCAAGCCTTTCTTTCGCAATTTTCTTCCTGGAAGGGCCTTGTTCATGATCACTATCCATCGTGGAGTAAGGGTAGATAGTTTCTAAAGCTGCAGTAAGAAATATAGCCACGGAAAATAGCCGAAATGTTCACACGTTTGAGATGCGAAGGGAGGCGACATTGATCACAACAGTGGAGCAAAAACAATGGGCCCACGGCATGTGCCAAGCCACCTGAGGGCCACGAGGCTCAACAAAGAAAATGGGAAGACATCGGCGCACATTTTAAAACCAGTCCCAAAAAAATCGGATAAAAACCTGATTTTTGGCGATTATTTAAAGTGGATGACGCAATGCTGCGTCATCTCCGGTATTACCGACAGTAAATGGATGACGCAATGCTGCGTCATGCCCGGGCGAAAGTGTTAACCAGGTTTGTTGTGGCCCTCTTTGTCTGTTAGGTGTTCGGGTTCTGGTCTACCTCGACGACTGATTGGTTTGGGCTTCCAGCCGGTGTGAGTGTCTGCTTGCCAGGGAAGTGGTTCTTTCTCAGCTGTCCGGATTCGGCTTCCAGGTAAATTGGAGGAAGTTCCATTTAGTTCCGTCCAGGGTTCGGACTTGGCTGGGCCTCTTATGGGATTCTCGCACAGCATCTGTTTCTTTCCCTCCTATGGCTTTGCTTCGGCTGCAGTCCCGTCGTCTGCTGTTTTTGGTGGGGTCTCGGATCATTTGGTGGTTGCTTGAGCAGCTGTGCGGGGGCCTGGACTTTGCAATCCTGGTTTTTCCCGCTGGGCAGAGCGTGGCATCGGAGGCCATTCTGGTATCTTCTGGGCAGCCCCGTTCGCCCCTCCCGGGATCGCTGGGTTTGGCTTCCAGGGTCCTTGCGTTGGTTACTGCATCTCCGGTTCGTCTTTGGGGTTTTCAGGGTTTGGTTCTCCTTCCCCTTCCCTCGCTGATGTGTTCGAGGTGGGGGTTCCTGTACCTTCATCCCCCGATTCAGCTGTTGCTTCGGGTTTTAGCTCGGCTCGATTCCTTTCGGGGTGAGTGGTTCTCCTGGCCCCATGGTGGCCGGACCAGCCTTGGTTTCAGACACTGCTTTCATGGTGTCCAAACCTAGGCATTTATCCGCAGTTCCATCTCATTCAGCAGGTCTGGCCAGCGAGGTACCTTACTGGTTTGACTTACTTTTCCGCTCTTCATTTTTTTTTTTTTACGTGGGTGTATTGCCATTTCTTTGGTGACCCAGTGGCTTCATTGATGGTGTCCCACCTGTGGTCTTCCTCTCTGCGATAGTATGAAGTATCCTGGTGGTCTTTCTGCCATTTCCTTTCCCTTTGTAGGGTTTTGTCAGTGTCTGTTCTGGTTGTTTTGTCCTTTCTTGCCTCTTTTAGGACTGTCATCTTATTCCAAATACTGTTGTTTCTTACCGTGCGATGCTGGCGAAGCCACTTCAGCTTGCGTTCAGGGTGGCTGTGTCTTCCACTCCGTTCTGCAAGCTCTCTTGCTCTTTTCACCTCTGGCCTGCTCATGCACTGCCCAAGCCTTCCTGGTCTTTGGACTGGGTGCCCTTGTTTCTCTTTTCTCCTCGGTTTGTTGTTGCCCCTTCAGTCTGGGATTGTTTTCTTAGGGCCTTGTTCTGGTTGGCTTTAGCCTCTAGGAGTCAGGTTGGGGAGTTTTCTGCTCTTCTCTGGCGCAAGGGTTTCTGCCATTTTGATCCTATCTTGAGGTTATCTTGATGATTTCGGGGCTTTTTAGTGTCCCCGCGGTCCGGTCCTCGACCAGGCCTCCACCCCCAGGAAGCAGCCCGTGACAGCTGGCTAACACCCAGGTACCTATTTTACTGCTAGGTAACAGGGGCATAGGGTGATAGGAACTCTGCCCATTGTTTCTCGCCGGCGCCCGGGATCGAACCCGGAATCGCAGGATTACAAGTCCAGTGTGCTGTCCGCTCGGTCGACCGGCTCCTAGGGGTTGTTTTTTTCGTTTGCAGGCTTCTCCTTCTTTTCTTGCAAAGAATGAGACAGCTGGTTTCCGGAGGGGTCCATGGGTTGTTGATGCTTGGTTGGTTCAGCCAGGGGGTGCATCATATTTTGTCTGGTTGCGGCTTTACGTTGCTACCTGAGCGCTACTGATTCAGCGACAGTGGATGCGCTCTAGGTAGACCTGGTTTTCCTTGATCCCGTTCCAGGGCTCGTGTCTCTTGGGTTGTCTGCAGGGTTAAGTCTAGCCAGCCTGCGGTCTACCTTGAGGTGTACCTCAAGGTTTTTTCGGGGCTTAGTGTCCCCGCAGCCCGGTCCTCGACCAGGCCTACCCTCGTGCCCATGATGTGAGGAAGTATGCATCTCTTGCGGCTGTCTTTGGTATTATCTTGGGTCGATATTTGGGCATAGGGGTTTTAGAAATGGAACAGAGTCCTGGCTGCCAGTTATCTTGTTAACGTTCCGGGCCCTCTGTGACCTTGTGTTGCTTAGGAACATTTGTCGCAGCCTGTTGTCTCGTCTTTGTTGGGAGACCTGCAGTGCTGTCACCTCCCGGGAATGGTCCTATTTTTATTTATCTGTGGGTAATTAGCTTCAGGGAGCTGATGGGGCTCCCCACAGAAAACCAGCGTTGAATGTAATGAAACGCCATTTTCTAGGCGAGTCCCGGAGGCTCCCCTGACACCCTCTCTCTCCCTCTGGTCTGTTGTTTTCATGATTCTCCAGACTGAGGGTGAAGAGGCTGGCTTACTTGAGCGGGGTTTCCCCTCCCCCCTTGTCAGGGGAGGTGGGCATTAATGAGTGGGTGTGCTAGTTGGATTATATTTTGCTTGTTTCATTGTTTTCTTTTGGGGGAGTTCTTTGGCTCTGTTTGAGCGTAGGCTGCAATTTTCACCGGTTAGAAGTTTGTATTGGATCGCCTGCCTTTCTGGGTGCCTTCCCTGGTCAAGTGCAGACATGCCAAACTAAGTGTAGTGTGCTCATATGGCCATTGCTCCCTGCGCCTCTCTGAGTGGACCAGGTTCCGGTGCTGGTCTCTGGTAGGCACACACACAACTCCAAGGACTGATGACACCAAACTAATATGGCACATGTCAGTTTGATAGCTTCAGGGAGCCTCCGGGGCTCGCCCAGACAATGGCGTTTCATTACATTCAACTCCGAGTTTTTAAGTTTATAAATAAACAAATTTGTCATGTAGTTACCATTATTTCTCATTCATATTATTCCTTTTATTTTTTAAGGTACATACTCGACAAAAGAAAGAACGTGACCAGTTTCAGGCTGTTATTGATAAGAAACGCAAAGCATTTGAACCCACACTTCAGATTATTAACCAGAAGAAGAAAGAACTCCTAGAGATGAAGATGCTAATACGAGACACGGTAATTGTTTTCTCATTTTAACATTTAATATAGTAATGGTAATATCTAACCACAGACATAATAATACAGTATAGGATAAAAAAAAACACTTATGTATTTGTATATTTTATGTAAAGATTTAAACTCCATAAAGTCTTTTGCACTCTCCTAAGTGCATTATCAAGGTACCCTCGTCGAGGGGCTTTTTGTTGTAGGGGGTATGGGTTTTCTTACCCCCTTCCCTGTGCGAGTGTGAATTTGGTTCGGCTCCTCCCCGGGATCCCTTGGGTACTTCAGTTCCTTCTTTCTGGAGGGTTTCGGCTTCTCGAATTCCGCCTCGGGATGTTCGGGAGGCTCGCACGGCTTGCCTCCCACATGATCTGGATTCTGTCTCGGTCGGTGATGGATCCATCTTTTGAGTTCGGCTCTATTTTTCCCTATTGGGTGTGTTACGAGGTACCACAGTCTTCCTGCCTGGCAGACTGACCTTTCTTTTTGTTGGGTGCATGGCAAGGGGATTTGTCGGACCCGTGCGCTTGAGTGGCTGGAGCCTTCTACTGTGCTGCTCCAAGCAGCGGGCTGCTCCAAGCAACAGCCTAGTGGACCAAACTCTCACAAGTCAAGCCTGGCCTCGGGCCGGGCTTGGGGAGTAGAAGAACTCCCAGAACCCCATCAACCAGGTATCAACCAGGTGTGCTTCCTTGGGATGTTTGCGTTGTGCAGCTCCACGTGCAAGTTCTCTTCCTTTTGGCTTCCTTGGTAGGTGAGAATTTGTGTGGCTGTGGGCATTTGGCCTTGGTCTTGCATTTCTTTTCCCTTCTTTAGCTGTCCTTGGACTGGCTTGAGGAGGATGTGGAGGCGCTGGGTACTGGGTCTTCGATCAGAGTACTTATCTCGGCGGCTTGGGCGTCGGCTGCCTTGTTGAAGTTGTATGCCGCTATTCTCAAGGAGGCGGTGTCTGTTTTTTGCTTCTTGCCTCGCGTGCCAACAGGCCATGCATGCATGCTCTCTCCTTGGCATCTGCTTGGGCCTGGGCTCTTAGGTTTTCGTCGCCTTTTTTGTCTGTTGCTGTTTGCAGAGTCTGCTGTCATGCAGATTCTGCAGGCAGCTTCGTCTTTCTGTCATCCCATGTCAGACTTGTTGGTTTTCCGGGGTGGATTGAAATTGAATTGAAATTGAAATAAGTTTATTGAGGTAAAATACACACAAAGAGATGAGGTAGCTCAAGCTATTCTCACCCCGTTCAGTACATCATGTTAATACATACGTAGACACACATCACAAACAATAAACATATTACCAAACATTCTGAGAGTTAAACATATACATTTCCTCCTTTACACAAGTACTGGGGTGGATGCGTCTTTCTCTGTATGCAGCATCCTTCCTCGACTGCGTGGCCCTTGTGGTAGATGCCTTTCGGCTGGACTGGTTGAGGTGGGGTTCCTGTGTTTTTTCTCTGGTTCAACTGTTGCTCTGGGTCCTGGCAAAATTGAAGTCCCCCCCTCCCTCCCTCCCTCCCTACCTCCTCCCTCCCTCCCTACCTCCTTCCCTCTCTACCTCCTTCCCTCCCTACCTCCTTCCCTCCCTACCTCCCTCCCCCCTTCTTCCTCCTCCTTGTAATGAATGGTATACAGAGTATAGCTTTTGTGGTTGTTAATGTAAATGTTTCTCTTATTTAAAATACTACTTCATTTTATTTGTGTTAATTTTAGTTACATTGGTGTTTAAGAGTATGTACAGGTATTGGTAAATGAGTATGATTCTGTGTGTAAAAGTTATCCCACGCATTTCCGTGAGAGGAGTTTCCCCGCACTCCACGTGGGAGAGACTGCCGAGACTCTTCCCCCCCCCCCCCCCACACACACACACACACACACACGCACATGCACGCACACACGCACACACAAGTGTGTAATAGTGTGTAATTGACAAGTGTAATAGTGAAAGTATTGGAAAAACTAATCAAAACTAAATGGGTAGAACACCTAGAGAGAAATGATATAATATCAGACAGACAGTATGGTTTTCGATCTGGAAGATCCTGTGTATCGAATTTACTCAGTTTCTATGATCGAGCCACAGAGATATTACAGGAAAGAGATGGTTGGGTTGACTGCATCTATCTGGACCTAAAAAAGGCTTTCGACAGAGTTCCACATAAGAGGTTGTTCTGGAAACTGGAAAATATTGGAGGGGTGACAGGTAAGCTTCTATCATGGATGAAAAATTTTCTGACTGATAGAAAAATGAGGGCAGTAATCAGAGGCAATGTATCAGAATGGAGAAATGTCACAAGTGGAGTACCACAGGGTTCAGTTCTTGCACCAGTGATGTTTATTGTGTACATAAATGATCTACCAGTTGGTATACAGAATTATATGAACATGTTTGCTGATGATGCTAAGATAATAGGAAGGATAAGAAATTTAGATGACTGTCATGCCCTTCAAAAAGACCTGGACAAAATAAGTATATGGAGCACCACTTGGCAAATGGAATTTAATGTTAATAAATGTCATGTTATGGAATGTGGAATAGGAGAACATAGACCCCACACAACCTATATATTATGTGAGAAATCTTTAAAGAATTCTGATAAAGAAAGAGATCTAGGAGTGGTTCTAGATAGAAAACTATCACCTGAGGACCACATAAAGAATATTGTGCAAGGAGCCTATGCTATGCTTTCTAACTTCAGAATTGCATTTAAATACATGGATGGCGATATACTAAAGAAATTGTTCATGACTTTTGTTAGGCCAAAGCTTGAATATGCAGCTGTTGTGTGGTGCCCATATCTTAAGAAGCACATCAACAAACTGGAAAAGGTGCAAAGACATGCTACTAAGTGGCTCCCAGAACTGAAGGGCAAGAGCTACGAGGAGAGGTTAGAAGCATTAAATATGCCAAAACTAGAAGACAGAAGAAAAAGAGGTGATATGATCACTACATACAAAATAGTAACAGGAATTGATAAAATCGACAGGGAAGACTTCCTGAGACCTGGAATTTCAAGAACAAGAGGTCATAGATTTAAACTAGCTAAACACAGATGCCGAAGAAATATAAGAAAATTCACCTTCGCAAATAGAGTGGTAGACGGTTGGAACAAGTTAAGTGAGAAGGTGGTGGAGGCCAAGACCGTCAGTAGTTTCAAAGCGTTATATGACAAAGAGTGCTGGGAAGACGGGACACCACGAGCGTAGCTCTCATCCTGTAACTACACTTAGGTAATTACACTTAGGTAATTACACGCACGCGCGCGTTGCGTGGTGTACGTGCTCGTGAGGTACCTGCCTCACTGTGTGAGGTTATTGACCTCCATTTATATCCAAGCGACGGGAACTGTAATCGTAAATCTGGCGAGCGAGAGTTTTTCTTGTTAGTGTATAATCTCTCTTGTGTTTAAATAAATGTAATGCACACACTTTGGTTGTTTCTTGAGTCCAGTCTATGCAAAAATATGGTATCAGTACCATGTAGTCATTCTTGTTTGAAGTGTGTATAAATGTCCAATGGTTCTACATCCCTAGTTTAAAGTAAAAGTAAAGTACCTATACTGTAAATAGAAAGTAAGGATGGGTTTCATGAGTTTGTACTCTAGGGTATGGCTTACAAGACTCGTAACTTTACATCCTCCCTCCCTCCCCTCCCTTCCTCCCTCCCTCCGTCCTTCCTCCTCCCTCCTCCTGCCTCCCTCCCTCCTCCTGCCTCCCTCCCTCCTCCTGCCTCCCTCCCTCCTCCTGCCTCCCTCCCTTCCTTCCTCCCTCCCTCCCTCCCTCCCTCCCTCCCTCCCTTCCTTCCTTCCTTCCTTCCTTCCTTCCTTCCTTCCTTCCTTCCTTCCTCCTCCCTCCCTCCCTCCCTCCCTCCCTCCTTCCCTCCCTCCCTCCCTCCCTCCCTCCCTCTTCCTCCCTCTTCCTCCCTCTTCCTCCCTCCCACCTACTCTCTCCTCCTCCTCTTCCCACCTACTCTCTCTTCCTCCTCCTCCTCCTCCTGCAGTTTTATAACCATAACCACATTACTCATTCTGAAATTGGGAGGCAACAGCCACAAAACAATAGTTATGTAAAGAAAGTTAAAGATGCATCAAACATCTAATTCACTCTTTAATTATTTTCACTGACTGATTTTTTCTGAACCAGTTCTGAGTAGACTTCATAATGGCATTGTTACTCTTATGTTTTCTTAGCAAGATAAAGTGAAGAAGAAGCAGATGATGGATGAAAAGCTACAGTACGAATACGAACAGTCCGTGGAGGCGTTGCAGGATGCCCAGCGGGTTTTCTCTGCCAAGAAACAAGAGGAAGATCAACGCAAACGAGAATTACTAGACTTTGGCCGACAGTTAGATGTCCTTGATGGTCAGCTGAAGAACCTGCCACAATTGGATGGTCAGTTTTTGTGTTACCTGTTATACCTTAGAAATTGTTTGTTTTGGCCTAAATACTGTGTTTGACTAGTCTTGCAAGAGGTCTGAGTAATGCAGCCAATGAATTCAACGTTTGTGCCTGAAAACATATCGAAAGTAAATAATGTAAATAAAATGGAAAAATATGCACAAATATAAAATGGTGAAAGAGAGGGAGGGTTTTGTCTGCTGCGAGTAAACAAAAGCAAAACAAACGGTTGTGCCACTGGCAACTCGGTAACCGGCCATGGAACTACATAAGCTTCTGAGTGCTTGCGGCTGGATCACAAACGAATAGATGGAATAAACGAATGATTGAGGTCCGATAGCAAGGTTGGGGAGTGTACGCTAGTGCTGCGCCAGATTCGGCTTCCTCAGGGCGCCTTGATTCGGCTCTATTCGGACTGCTCCCTCCATGGTTCTTTGTCTCAACTGTGGGGGAGGGGGGGTCGCATTGGTCCGTAGCTCTGGTCGCTTCAGGTAGCCCTTCTGCTGAGTTCATGGGGTTTTGTCACTCCACGCAGTTCACATCCAAGGCATGTCCACCATTCTGGCAAACTGCCTGTTCTGGTTCATTCCTCTTGCACGGAGTGGACGGTCGACGCTGAGTTTTTCCATTGGCTTTGCCAGACGTCTGGTTGCCCGAAGGTGGACCTCTTCACGCCGGCATAGTCTCGGTGTCTTCCATTGTGTGTGGAGTCGTTTCCCCCTACTACGAGGCTGTCACAGTACAGTGTGTCCTCACTTGAATGAACTATATGGGGCGAGGTCGATTCGTTCCACCGCCACCGATTCGTTCTACCCATCAGCCCCAGGCTGTCTCGCCACTCCCAAATGTGAAAAGAACTGAAGTCCTACATCCCCTATAAACAAAACAAAATCACAGAAAATCTATATGTATTTGTCATATTGAACATGGTACATGATAGAGCCATCATTAGTGAGCAATTTCATATCAGAATCATAACTGTGTGGCTATTATTGGAGGCTACAAATATGATGTAATGGCCAGGATTTCCATAGGCCAACTTTATCAGTCTTGCTATAAATATTCATAAAAAATAAATTTATTATGAATTCTTCATTATCATTATGGCATTTGATAGAGTAATCACTTAAAAACAATTTGGTATAAAAATGTTACATATGTGAGCATTATTAAATGCAATCAAGTGAAATTACTGAATTTTCAACAAACTGACAAGAGAAGAGGCGGGAGGACAACTGCCTGCCTGGTTGGCAGGCCGCTGGTGGTCGGGGGGAAGGGGGTTGTGGTCGGCTGCTGGTGGTCAGATGTGGGGAGAGGGGGGGGGGGGGTTGCAGGTCTGCAATAGAGGAAGGGGGTTGGCGGTAAGACTGGCAGGCCTCAGGCCATATCAGGCCTTGGGTCATTTAAGGCCTTAGACCAGACCAGCCCTTGGATCAGACCAGTTTTCAGGCGAGGCAATGTCAGGTTGGACAAGGTTAGACCAAGCCAGGCCTTAGGCCTGGGATACACTGCTAGTTTGTGTGTGTGTGTGTGTGTGTGTGTACCCATTCCTAGCCTCACAGCAGACTTCAGCATCATAAGGTGTTATGCAGCCTGTCTACCTTCGCGGCAGCCGGTTCCTGTTTCCTCTGGGGACGTAGTACAATACTTTTGTGGGTTTTTTCTTTTGTTTTTCTTGCCTGGTGTTGGGGTCTGCTTGGTGTGGCTATCGTTCCACTTATAATATTTTGGTGGTCCTCTGCTAGGCCCTGTGATTATACACGTCACAGGGGTTTGTGTTTTGATCTCCTTGTTAGCTTTGGGTCTTAAACCAGTTAGAAACACCTTGTTCAGGCTTCCCATAGCAGTCAGCCTACGGGCCCTGGAAAACCCTGTCGGGGCTCGGTGGACCAATGGATGCGTCTTCAGAGTTCCAGCCCACCTCGTGTAGGTTCGAAGGTTGTTGTGTACTCTTGTCTCAGGGGTGACAGTCATCTCTTGCCTCTGTCATGCTGCCTGTTGGGTCAATGACTCCATTTATCCGGAGTCGCGTTCTCTGCTTGTTCTCCAGTACTATTCTGATGACATTACTGTTAGGGTACAGGCAGCATCGAGGCCCTTTTTCCAAGGCCCTGTTTCTGTTTGCATTGACTTCTTGGGGGTCGGGTATGTGAGCTACATGCTCTCCTCCAGTGCAGGGGTTTCTGCTCTTTCGAGCCTGGTGATTGGTTTGTTTGGTTGCAGCCCTCTCCTTCTTTTCTGGCGAAGAACAAGACAGCTGCTTTCCGGAGTTGGTGCTGGGTTGTTTCCCCCATCCAACCCAGTTCCCCCCACCGTCCATCCATCCAGTCCCCCCCCCCCCCTCACCGTCCATCCATCCAGTTCCCCCCCTCCCCACCGTCCATCCATCCAGTTCCCCCCCCCCCACTGTCCATCCATCCATTCCCCCCCCCCCACCGTCCATCCATCCAGTTCCCCCCTCCCACCGTCCATCCAGTTCCCCCCCCCCCCAACGTTCATCCAGTCCCCCCCCGCCCCATTGTCCATCCATCCATCCAGTTCCCCCTCCACCGTCCATCCAGTTCCCCCCCACCGCCCATCCAGTTCCCCCCCAACCGCCCCATTGTCCATCCATCCATCCATCCATCCAGTTCCCCCCCACTGTCCATCCATCCATCCAGTTCCCCCACCATCCATCCATCCATCCATCCAGTCCCCCTTCACCATCCATCTTGGGATCCATGGCTTTATATACAGTGGTACCTCAGAATTCGAGTGTCCCTGCATACAAATTTTTTTGAATAAGAGCAAGATTTGCTCAGAAAATTTGCCTTGGAACGCGAGGGTGTTGATACGCATACAGACCGACCTAGCGAGTGGTGGCAGGGCGATCGTCGCTCAATTTACCAGTGCCTTGCGCCCAGTGACTATCCCGCCTGAATTCTTCACCAGGATTTTCAGTGTTTTGTTGGATTTTTGGCCATTTGACCATAAGTTATTATATATCTCACCATGAGTCCCAAGAAAGCCAGTGGTAAGGCTCAAGGCAAGAAAGCGCTTGTGAGGATGACAATAGAGGAAAAACAAGATATCATTCGAAAGCATGAAAATGGTACACGTGTTGTTGAACTTTGTAGGCAGTACAACAAAGCCACGTCAACGATATGCACTATACTTAGCATGAAAAAGGGCATTATGAGTGCTAAAGTGGCAAAAGGCGTAAGAACAATCACGAAACAAAGACCACAAATTCTTGAGGAAGTGGAAAAGTTATTAATTTGGATACACAACAAGGAGTTAGCTGGTGATAGTGTTTCAGAGGCCATCATTTGTGAGAGAGCCAGGGTATTGCACGAAGACCTTGTAAAGAAAACCCCTGGAATGAGTGCAGATACGATAGACTTTAAGGTAAGCAGGGGATGGTTTGAAAAATTTAGAGAAAGAAGTGGTATTCATAGTGTTGTGAGGCACGTGGAGACCGCTAGCTCAGATAAACTAGCGGCTGAAAGATTTATTGAAGAATTTAGAGAGTTTGCAGAGGTTGAGGGATATCTACCGCAACAAGTTTTTAATTGTGATGAAACAGGACTGTTTTGGAAAAGATTGCCTAAGAGGACATACATTACCAAGGAGGAAAAGTCCTTGCCCAGACACAAGCCTATGAAAGATAGGTTTACGCTTGTGCTGTGTTCAAATGTGAGTGGCGATTTGAAAATTATACCCTTGCTTGTGTATCATTCTGAAAATCCAAGGGTTTTCAGACAGTATAAAGTGCAGAAAACCCAAATGTGTGTGATGTGGAGTTGTTGTTGATGTTAAAGATTCGCTATCTAGAACAAAATGTTCCAAGTAGCACGGGCTATGGTGAGCCCGTAGTCGCTGATGTGGAGGGTTAATAAAAGGGCATGGATGACTAGGATTTTTTTTTCGGAGTGGGTGAAGGAAATGGTTTGCCCTGCCATAGAAAAATATCTGCAGAAGAAACATTTGCCACTCGAGGCCCTACTTCTCCTTGACAATGCTCCTGCTCATCCTCCAGGCTTGGAAGATGAATTGTTGCACAGATAGTAATTTTCTCACAGTAAAGTTCCTTCTTTCCTAACACCACTCCTCTAATTCAGCCTATGGACCAGAAAATCACAGCAAATTTTAAGAAAGTTTATGAAAGGGCACTTTTCCGGAAATGTTTTGAAGTGACTGTAGCTACAAGACTCGCCCTCAAAGCGTTCAGGAAAGACCATCTCAACATTTGTAGTGCTGGAGAAAATTTTCCTGAATGTGACATAACTAGACTTTGAGGGGTTTGAGCCTGTAAATGATGTGCCTATTATTGAGGAAATTGTTACTCTGGGCCGGCAAATGGGCTTGGAATTGGATGGTGATGATGTGGAGTAGTTTGTGGAAGAACACAACGAAGAACTGACCACCGAAGAACTCCAAGCCCTTCAAAAGGAATAGTAAGAAGACACAGCTGAGGATGTTTCTCCAGTGGAGGAGGATGAGGCGGTACAGAATGTCCCTTCTGCAGACATTAAGAAGTGGTGTCAGATGTGGGAAGAAATGCAAACTTTTATTGAAAAGACTTCCCCAGAGAAAGCTGTAGTAGGCCATTGCATTAATCTTTTCAATGACAATGTGATGCCTCACTACAGAGACATCTTGCGAAGAAGGGAAAAACAATCTTCCATGGACAGATTTGTTGCGAAAACATCGAGCAGTGAGCCACAACCAGGACCTAGTGGTATGCAGGCAAAATGTGCCAGAGAATGCACTCCAGAGAGGTCCTCACTGCCTGATGTTATAATGGAAGGGGACTCCCCCTTCCAAACAGTAACACCTCTCCTCCTCCCCCCCTCCTCACCATCTTCCATACACCAACAGCAGTCATCAGCAAGGGGTAAGTAATAACTTGAACATAGTTTTGTAGTGTAGATTTTTATGAATTGGGTATAAAATTTAGTTTGATGTGAGGTTTTTGGGTAGTCGGGAACAGATCAATTCATATCCCATTATTTCTTATGGGGAAATTAGCTTCGGTTTACGAGTTTTCGGATTATGGGGTGTCTCCAGGAACGGATTAAACTCTTAAACCGAAGTACCCCTGTATAATAAGAACTTTCATGTTAAAAAAAAACAAAGATGACTGAAATTCTTCGCAAAAAATTCAAAGCGCGGCCACAGTCGTCACTACGCGAGATGTACTTGTAAACAAACTGAGAGAGAGCGCCTCGCCTTCCCCAGCACCACATGCTCATTCAACCCATACGTGTACGAACAGACGTAGTCTTTCAAGTAAACTCTCGTCTTCCAATTCTAATTTTACAACGAATTTGACGTCGTGTTCCAAGAAATTCGTCTTCTAGGGCAGTTGTCAACCTAGGTTCCACTCTATAGCTATATCAGCCTTGATAGCTCCGGGAAGCCTTCAGGTCTCGCACAGAAAATGCCATTTCATTACATTCTACGCTGGTTTATTTATTCAAATAATACAGTATATTGTGGTGTACATGTTAGTGTCACTTGTATATCTGTAATTACCTAAGTGTAGTTACAGGATGAGAGCTAAGCTCGTGGTGTCCCATCTTCCCAGCACTCTGTCATATAATGCTTTGAAATTACTGACGGTTTTGGCCTCCACCACTTTCTCACTTAACTTGTTCCAACCGTCTACCACTCTGTTTACAAAAGTGAATTTTCGTATATCTGTGTACATATCTACATGTTATATGATATAAATAACATTATTGATTTGAAAAAAACTATGGTAAAAGCGTTCAAAATATGAAGAAAATTAATTATACCCAGTATTCAATGCACATACAACTTCGAGGAAGATATATGGGGCTAGATTGAGTTTGGCTGCGAGATAATCATACTTGTTCCAACCGTCTACCACTCTGTTTACAAAAGTGAATTTTCGTATATCTGTGTACATATCTACATGTTATATGATATAAATAACATTATTGATTTGAAAAAAACTATGGTAAAAGCGTTCAAAATATGAAGAAAATTAATTATACCCAGTATTCAATGCACATACAACTTCGAGGAAGATATATGGGGCTAGATTGAGTTTGGCTGCGAGATAATCATACTCGCCAGAATTGCTTTGTTGATTGTAAAGATGTATAAATATGTAGATAATTGTGAGTATATAGTGTGAAAATAGCAAAAACAGTAGGTTTCATTGTTCAAAGAACATAATATTGTATGCCTATTAGTTTCACGAATGTTTGTGTGTATCGATGTTCTGCACATTTTATTATACAGTACTGTATAAATTTCTCAAATTACACACTATTGTGTAATATTACTGCTAGAAATCAATACAGCAACAAATCAGTAACACTGAAATAAATCGGCACAAATATATTCGTATAGCATCTTTCACCGAACGCATGATCTGGGCAACCTCCTCAGGGCATCTACTCCATGAACGCTCGTGAATCAGTGACATCACTGTTAGATTTCTTCCCTCCACTACAGCCAAAGTAAGCTACATAAATTTTTAATTTTTGTAATTTCTCATGATCAGGTAACACATTTTAACAATATTAAAAAGGAGGGGGGGGGGATGTCATATAAAATGAGTATGCTATGAAGAGGTTAAGATGGTTTGAGCATGATGAACTAATGGGTGATGGTAGAGAGCCATCTTGTGGAATGGATCAACACCCTATTATCCTTGACACCTCTGAGCTTCAGTCTTTGGAGACGCGTCTGTGGAGTTTATCTTGCTCGAGTGATATATTTTCCTTTTATTGAGGTTATGCACTTATATTTTTGCTTTGGAAAATAATAAAATTGTGCTAATAAAAGCTTTGTTGATTGCAGATGTGGTGGCTCAGAAGACCCTCAAGGAGCTGGCAGAGAAAATAAACAGTGCTTCCCATACTAACCTTCATTTGAAGGATAAGCAGCATAATGCTGAAACAACAAGGACATCGTCTATCCGAAAGATGAATGCCTGTCAGGTGGAATTGGCTGGCATCCAGGTGAGCAGAATGAACTCTTAATGTTGCCTTAGAATTTACATCATCACATAACATGCAGATAAATGTTTTAGCTATGTGTAACCATGGAGTTAGGGTGGCATGTAAAATATTTTTCAACATGTAAGACATTTTCTGAATTTTATTTTTGAGTGGGGGCATGTTTTATCATACATTTATTGAAAGTGATTTTCAGGTGGGTTTGAAAGGAGGGGGGGGGGTTAAACATGTAATTTTGTGTGGGTAAATAAAATATATACTCAGTGGTGGACCAAAAACGTATCTTCTTTACCAAAAAAGTATGTTGCCCCAAAAATTACCTCATCCTAGTAAGAAAATTATTTTTCCTTTTCCATTTATCTAAGTCTAAAAGAAAGAATCAACTCGCCAGTTAACAATTTGGTTGTTTTCTGAAAGTATTGTTCTCAAAATTAATTTCACGTTCTTAGTTTGATATCTGTGTATAATGGTTAAATGGTCACTTAATAATACAGTACAATTTCAATTTTGGCTGTTAATATTAACTGGAATTTGAAAACAAAAAAATTACTAATATAATGCTATTTTGGGTAAGCATTCATCAAGCATTTACATGTCCACTGACAAATCTGTATAAATTTCCTTAATCATGGCAGCTTTGTTGACATTTATTAAATAGTTTACAAGCTCCGAAACTTTACCACCCAAGGTTATTATTTTGAGAACCTCGTAGTGTTTCGGACTCGTAAAATGCTTAATAATGCAGATCAAGCTGCTTTGATTGAGGTAAGATGGACAGAGCTTACAAGTGGACACGTACATGCTTGGCGATTCCTGGCCTGGTGAGCTCCCGGGCATATTGGTGTATAGGCGTGTGCTGAACACTTCTAGAACCAAGGCAGTAGTTTATCGATTATAGCTGATGCTGTATTTTTATGCAGGATATTAGCAAGCAGCGCTTGGAACTCCTAAGCAGGAGGAACCGTGATGCCTACAATGCCATGAAGTGGTTGGAAGAGAACAGAGACAAGTTCGCTGCTACTGTACATGCCCCCATGTGCACGCTGGTAAGTTATCTTGTGTGTCCTCATAAACACTTTGTGGTATGTTTGGCCCATGCACATACTTGTGTGGTAGACGAGTTTCTTCTTGTGTGGTACGTCTTATATCCTGATGTACACTTAGGAATGTTCTGTACAATGCAACATTCCAGTGTACACACTTATATTACCTAATGTCTCCATGTGTTTACTGGTATGTCACCATGTACACATGGGTATGCTACCTCCTACATCCCCATGTATACGTTGGTATGTTACTATCCTCATATACAGGTGTATCTAGCACTATTATATCCCTCGTACAATGTTCCTTAGCCTCGAGTCCCGGGCTCCCCTTAGCCTCGAGCCCCGGGCTCCCCTTAGCCTCGAGCCCCGGGCTCCCCTTAGCCTCGAGCCCCGGGCTCCCCTTAGCCTCGAGCCCCGGGCTCCCCTGAGCCTCGAGTCCCGGGCTCCCTTGAGCCTCGAGTCCCGGGCTCCCTTGAGCCTCGAGTCCCGGGCTCCCCTGAGCCTCGAGTCCCGGGCTCCCCTGAGCCTCGAGTCCCGGGTTCCTTTAAGCCTCTTGTGAGGCAGCCAGATTAAGATCCTAATTTCTGGCAGACAAACACGATTCACTTGAGGCTTGTTTGGTTCATAAGGGTTGGTTAGTGCCAAGACTTCAGCTTGGGAAACCACTATAGGGGAAAGCCCTCCTGAAAAGTATTGTGAAGGTAAACGGTAAGTAAACATTATGCGTGGAACCCTTTGTGACAGCTATGTCGTAAGGAATGCTGACTCCACTTAGCTAAACAAAAAGCCTGGTGCTTGCAGAATTTTGTTTGGATTGATGAGTGACTTTGAGGTGCCACCTAGTGGTGCACTTAGGTATATGCACTGAAGTATTGACCTTGGTCAAACTATAGTTTACCTTAAGTGAAGAAATCCACAAGGGCTGTGATGAGGGTTCGAACCTACGTCCGAGATGATCCCAGATGCGCCTTAGTCGATTGTGCCATGACATGGTCGTTGTCGCAATCAACTAAACTGTGTTTGGGATCATCCCGGACGTACGTTCGAACCCTCATCTTGGCCTTTGTGGATTTGTTCATTTGATGTATCACACTATTGTGATTTCTGTGTGTATAGTTTACTCAATTTCACTTTTGTTTTTCTCTTTAACCCTTCAAATGTGCATGTCAACCAGGGTCATTTTCATCAATAGGTGCGCAGACCAACCAGGCTCAAGCCTGGTTGACCTGCGTACCTATCAATGAAAATGACCCCGGTTGTACAACCAGGGTCATTTTCTAAAAATAACAAAAAATATTCTAGGCTACACTTAATTTTTTAGGTGTAACCTAGGATTTAAATACTCACGGGTACATGTGGCTCACATTTACTTCCTATATCCTCTAGTAAATGCTATCTTTGAAAAAAATTGTGGGCACCCCACAATTTATAATTGTGGGGTGCAATTCCTTTACAAAAGAAATTGTAAAGGATCTAGGAGTAGTCATGTCAAAAGATCTTACCTTTACTGAACACCATAAAGTAGCTGTCACAACTGCAAGAATAAGAAAATGACAGGTTGGATAATACCAATGATACTTTTTTTTTCTCTCTCTCTCTCTCTCTCTCTCTCTCTCTCTCTCTCTCTCTCTCTCTCAAAGGTGGAATATTGTTGCAATCTAACAGCCCCATTCAGAGCCGGAGAAGTTGCTGACCTAGAGAGCGTGCAAAGATCCTTTACCACTAGAATCCACTCTATAAGTCATCTTAATTATTGGGACCGATTAAAAGTTCTAAATCTGTATTCTCTAGAGCACAGATGAGAGAGATAATCTACACATGGAAGCCATTAGGAGGACTGGTTCCAAATCTGAACACAGAAATAATATCACATGAATTTAATGATTGTGGCAAAAAGATCCTTACAGTGATAAAAGACTATGTACAAGGTTCAGATATGTTAACCCAATGCAGGTGGCAATGTTCCCAAAGTGAGTCCTACTCTGCCACTATCCATCCTCTGAATGGTAGTGGATCTCGTACCCATTCTGTGGGTGGTAGTGGTTACAGACACTCATAATGAGCCTAAGGACTGAACCCCAAAATTCATTTAGGTAAAAAAATTAGTCTTGATAAGCTTGTTGCACAATTTAATGTATACAATATATCATTAGTCTTTTGTATATTAATTTTCAGGTCTTTAGTTTCTAATTTTTGTTTACAGCTAAATATGAAGTACACCAAGTATGCCAAATATGTAGAGAATCGAATTAGTGAAAATGACTTGGTGGCATTTGTATGCGAGGACAAAAATGACTTGAACCTGTTTAAAGAAACGATGGACAAGCATCGCCCAAAAATTAGTGTGAATATAGTACACTCGACTGCTGCCAATTTGGATCAGTATCAACCTCGATTATCTATAGAGAACATCAGGTATGTTACCTTTTTTTTTTTTTTTTATCCTGTTGAAGGCATTTGTATTAATTGAATTGGTTAAATTATCATATGTACCTTTTAACAATTAAAAGTATAGTAAAATTAACAAACGTGCATTCACAGCTTTAAGAATCTGCTTTTTGTGGCAAAATTTTATTTGCAGAGATTGGGGGATAAATGCCAGGGATAGTGATTTGAGGAATTAAAAAAAAAGCAGCATTGAATGTAATGAAACGCCATTTTCTGGGCGAGTCCCGGAGGCTTCCTGGAGCTATCTAGGCTGATATGGATATTCCTAACTTTGGCATCAGTCAACGTGGGTGGAGTTTTAGGCCTACCGAGAACCACGAGCCAGAACCTGGCCCCCTCAGAGAGGCACGAGGAGCAATGGCCTATAGACATGCACATGTGATTTTGGAACATTCTATACAGTGACAGTTTAACAGTGATAAATTTTAGGTACTCGGGTACGGCAAAAATGAGGATCTGAAACATAATACAGGGTACAAAACACAATCGAATCTGCCCATAGTAGGAAAACAGCATGTCAAGGATTTGGGAATAGTGATGTCCGACGATCTGACGTTTGGGGAGCATAACCGAGCAAATATTGCGTCGGCCAGAAAAATGATAGGGTGGATTATGAGAACTTTCAAATCCAGAGGTCCCATCACAGTGGTTGTACTCTTCAAGTCACTGGTGTTGACGTCTCGAGTACTGCTCAATACTCGCTTCCCCCTTCAGAGCAGGAGAGATTGCTGAAATATAGAGAATACAGAGAACTTGTACGGCACGCATAGTCGAGATAAAACGCCTAAATTATTGGGATCGTCTCGAAGCTCTCCAAATGTATTCTAGAAAGGAGACGAGAGAGATACCAAATAATATACACATGGAAAATACTGGAGGGCCAGGTCCCAAATCTACACAGTAAAATAACAATGTACATACTGGAGTGAACGATATGGAAGAAAATGCAGCATTGAACCAGTGAAGAACAGAGGTGCCATAGGCACAATCAGAGAACACTGTGTAAACATCAGAAGTCCGCGGCTGTTCAACGTCCTCCCAGTGACTATAAGAAATATTGCCGGAACAACCATGGATATCTTCAAGAGAAAACTGGACTGTTTTCTAAGAGAAGTTCCGAATCAGCTGGGCTGTGGTGGGTATGTGGGCCTGCGGGCCGCTCCAAGCAACAGCCTGGTGAACCAAACTCTCACAAGTCAAGCCTAGCCTTGGGCTGGGCTTGGGGAGTAAAAGAACTCCCAGAACCCCATCAAGCGGGTATCGAGCAGGTATATCTGCCATCGACCAGGACAGACAACCAGGATTGTAAGCGCCCACAGGAGCAGTGCAACCAACCTCAGCAGGGCAGAACGACGCACGCGAAGCAGAGTAACAGAGGAGGAAAACTACCCAAGATGTGTACCACACTAAGGCAAAAATGTACTGTCTGGCAAAGGAACACAAGGAAAAGGCTATAGCCAGGGCCACAATCCTAGCACCCCAACAAAAAGGAACAGTAGGGGCAGGCATGAGTGATTGGAACCTACAGCCACCAGCAGACAGTGCAACACAGATGCTGGTAGGGACATAAAAGATGATGAAAGAACTCAGGTCTTCAACTGAAGACCAACAACTGAACAGGGGGCTTTCCAATCGCAGGAAACTGAACGTGTACACAGTACAACCTAGCACTAACACTAGTATAGCCAATAAGCACATACTAAGACACACAACAATGTGTAGTATAGAGGTAGAAAATGCAAGGAAAATGGAATGTACACGATCAAGTAAATATATAGACCCACTCCAATGTACAGTATACATTAGAGTGCAGCCAGGCACTGAACGACGGCCAAGGAAGGAGTGACCAGAAGCAAAGACTGAGTCAAGGAATGAGTGTTTCTTTCATTCCTGTACCCTTAAATGAGTGTTTATCATTCCTTTCCCCCTTGTGGAGAAGGGTTTCTCCACACCCTTCTCCACCCTTCTCCACAATTAGGCCTTAGCCTTGGACTCAGGAGCATTGATATAAGCACATAGGTAGGTCACTTTAAGATGCACACAGTGGTCAATCAACATGCCACAAACAACACCCGACACTCATCCAAAAACCGAGAACCAGTGCTTGGCCGACAGTGTTACCAGACCATATACTCTCGTCTGTAAAGCGTAGACACTACTGTGTCACGACACAGCCGAGCCATGTAATATTCCGGGAGCAGCACTAGCGGATCATGTCCCGAGATGTGTGAACCGTAGATGATTAGGTGTAGAGTAAAGGTGGAGGCGGTGCCACTCTGAGGCCACCTCACACCTGTAAAAGCAGAGAAAGAACTAAGTGTTCTCCCCATATATAAAATCCAGAACTTTCCCAGTATCCAGGGGGCTATGACTGGAAAGAAGATGAGCGAGAGCGGTGTAGAACCTGCGATGTAGGACGCGGAACAATAACACATGTTTACACCTCGTGGTCAGACTGGTAGGTCGGACCCGGTGTTCATGCGGTCACCAGTTCGAATTCTTATTTAAGCACTTAAGCTTCCTTTCACATTCAAAAGGTGACACCCCTCGGTTCAACACTTGCATCAGAGGAGCTCCAGCATATTTCAACAATCCTAAGTATTGTAGTACAGGATGATAGTGAGTGGTGTTCCAGAGAACATAAAGGTATAGTGCTTTTGAAAAATAGGTGAGATAACAGGAATGTGCTAAGGGAAGTGAAAAATTGGATGAGAAAAAGTTGCCCTAGTGTTTCCAGTGCAGAGAAGAACATTCAAGATGGCCACCAGCAAGAGGAAAAACAAAACAGCTTGATTTTGGGGGATTCAATGAAGAAAACATTGAAATAAGCAGTCTACACAATAAGTTGGTAAAATTAGGTACTAGTGAACTCTTATGTAGAAATAATTGGTAAACTGAAAGTAAGTAATGACCATTTGAATAGCAAAGTTTTATGTCTTGAGGGTTTAGTGAAAGACTTGTGCAAGGATAAAAATCAATTGGAAACAAATTGCAAAGCCATGGAAGAAGAAAATAAACTCTTAAAAATAGCTTTGGAAAAAGTTGAAGTAAATTTAAACATAAATGACTACAATAGGTTAGGTAAGGAAATTCAACAGGAGAAACAGCTTTTGTCAGCACAGATGGAGGAAGTTACACAAGGAATAGAACAGTACAAGAAGGAACAAATCCACAAGGGCCGTGACGAGGATTCGAACCTGCGTCCGGGAGCATCCCAGACACTGCCTTAATCGACTGAGCTACGACAGGGTAAAAGGGTTGAAACTAAAGTTCTAGTTCTGAAACAGAGGCACAAAATCCTGGTTTGTGCCTCGGAGAGGCTACGGGATCCAGTAAGTTCAGTAGAACTTCGGTTTCAACCCTTTTACCCTGTCGTAGCTCAGTCGATTAAGGCAGTGTCTGGGATGCTCCCGAACACAGGTTCGAATCCTCGTCACGGCCCTTGTGGATTCGTTCATTTGATGCATCACGTTAGTGTTGTAAAGTACAAGAAGGATATGCAACTCACCTATGCACAAGTGGCCAAGAAGAAGAAAAAATAGAAGAAGCAGTAAAGGAAGCCAAACACTGCAGCAACCAGGATAAAACAAACATTAGGCTGGAAGGGAGAGAGGAACTGGCATCTAACTCGAAGTTGGTGCAAAACACAGTTGATCGGAGTAAGTCCCTGATAATTTTTGGCTGCAAAGAAAAGGAGATAACATCTAGTTCAGAAAGAGCTTTAGAAGAAGCGATGGTAGTAGATAAAATTGTTGGCCTCGTGAAAGGTCTTACTTCCATAGAGAATGTGTGAGACTACAGGAGAATAGGCAGATACGTAAAAGGGAAATATCGACCTCTGAGGATCACCCTAAACCATGCCAAACGGATGGAAGTATTGTACTAAGGAATGCTAGAAAATTACAAAGTGATGATAATGCTCATATATAAATATCAGGATGTTATGTACCTAGCTGTTACCTTACATAGATTCCAAGGTTCAATGTGCCCATGGCCTGGTCTCTTGACTAGGCATCACAGTAGGTAGTCTGGTCAACCAGGCTGTTAGACGTGGATGCTCGTAGCCCGATGTGTAAATCACAACCTGCTTGACTACGTATCCTTTGGTGTTCTCTTTTGTGCACCATGAGAGGTCAGCCAGTTATGCCCCTTATATTTACAGGGGAATGTTGAAATGTCTTGGGGCCCTTGATGTTAATAGAATTCTTTCTCGGCGTAGCTATTGCATTTCTGCTTTTCAATGGGGTTATTTTGCACTTCTTGCCATACCTCTGGTGTCATGTGGTGTTATTCCCATGTATATAGTATAAACGTTTGAAGAAAAGTAGGCCAAAGTACAGTACCTCATTCATTTGTTCCCAAGTAAGAAAAACTAATTAATTGTATTATTTTACTACAGACAATATGGATTTGAGAAGTATATGCTGGAATGTATCGATGCACCACCCGCCATATTGACGTACCTGTGTCGTAATTATCAGATACATCGAATTCCCATAGGGGGGGAAATGGTGGACGAAGCTAAATTACCAATGGACTTCAACATCTACTACTCGGGTAAGTAAATGTGTCCATCTTATTTTTATTTTAACTCATTTATAATTCCAGTAACAGATACTTTGATTATTTTATCCTCATCCTTCATCCTCATCTCAAGGCTGTATTTGTAGATTGGGTTTCTTTAAATTTTGAACATAATATCTCCAAGTTTCATTATTAGTGTACCTAAGGAAAAACGGTATCTAATAATATATACTGTACATGGAAAATACTGGAGGGCCAGATCCCAAATTTACACAGCAAAATAACAACATACTAGAGTGAACGATATGGAATTCATGCAGAATAGAGCCCGTCAAGAGTAGAGGGGCCATAGGGTACAATCGGAGAACACTGTATAAATATATCGGTTGTTCAGTATCCTCCCAGAAAGTATAAGAAATATTGCTGGAACAAAAGTGGAAATTTTCAAGAAAAACTGGACACTTTTCTGCAAGAAGTGCCTGACCAACCAGGCTGTAGTGGAATAGTGGGCGTGTGGGCCGTTCCAAACAAGAGCCTGTTGGACCAAGCTTTCACAAGTCGAGCCTGGTCCAGGGCCTGGATCGGTGAGTAGAATAATCCCACAACCTCATCCAGATACAATCCAGGTCTCTTATTATGGTAGTGTGTTGCAGTTTTTATTCTATAGAATCTCTTTGTAAAATTATCCAGGTCAAAACAGTATTGGTTTGATGACCTAACCTCATTACTCACTAGCACATTAATGCACACACAACAGTTTTATTCTAAATCATCCATAGGTACCATTTTTTCTTGTAAGAGTTCATTTGATTATGCGATGGTCTTTAAGTATGGTCCTCTGCCCGAAACACTATACGTGTTAGTGGCTTTACAAGAATGTAAAAGTACTAATATTATGTAATCTCACAAACTCATTGTACCTTTTGTAAATAAATACAGTAAGTAAATAAAAATATTAACAGTATATTGAAATTATTTATGTTTGATTAGTTGTCTTGACATTTTAGTATTTGGGATATCGGATAAGAATAATTATCGTGGTCTTCCATTTTCTTAGAGTAATTTGTAATTAGTAAAGGGAGACAATTTGCATACTGTAGTTGTTTCGTATTGATGAATTGACAGGATATGCTATAAAATCTTGTGTGATTTCATCAGGTGACAATCGGATTAACAAGAATAGATCTCGATATGATGGTGAGTGGTCTTCCATCACTCACAAAGTCCATAAAGCATCACTGCTGCACATCATACTTGATACTCAGCGTATTGAACAGCTCAATCGAGACATCGTCGAATGCAAAGGCTGGTGAGTTTATATTATTATTTAATGTTTATAAATTCTAAAATTAAATTTGGAAACTTGTAATATAACCATCACAACATGTACTGCCCAAAACTAGTACAAGAGTGTGAGGAAGTGGCTAACTATTATGTTTATAAATTTATGTAAATGACCTTGAAGAGGGAGTGAGCTTGTACACGTTAATGTTTGCAGATGATGCAAAGTTAATGAGGAGAGGAAGAACTAAAGTGGACTGTAGGGGGGGCTGCAAGGAGATCCTAACAAACTTTTGAAGTGATCAGAAATGGCTACTGGAATTCAATCCAAATAAGTGCTAAGTAATGAAAATGGATAAGGGAGACTGTAGATATGTACAAATCCACAAGGGCCGTGACGAGGATTCAAATCTACGTCTAAGAGCATCCCAGACACTGCCTTAATCAACTGAGTTTATCCAGGTCACCCTAGGTGATCTGGATAAACTCAGTATTGTCCAGATATGTAGATATGTATTTAACTATTCCATAAAAGGAAGGTAATTACATGAAACAACAAGAAAAAAAAAGACCTGGGAGTAGAGATAATCCCAACACTAACACCAGAAGCTCATGTGAACAGGGTAACATCGGTAACATATGGGAAGTTAGCAAACATTAAGATCATCATTTAAGAATCTAAACAAGGAGGCTTTCAAGTCCATACACACTGCCCATGCGAGACATTATTTGAGTATTCAGCTCCAGCATGGAACCCACACCATGTAAAACATATCCAGAAACTTGAAGAAAGTTCAGAGGATTGCAACTCGCTTAGCATTAGAATCGAGATGCTAAGAAATAGTGGACGGAGAGGCTTCAGCTATAAGGACAGGTTGAGAGAACTCGCCCTAACAATCTTAATCCTTGTGCTGCTCATTACATACGTAGACGATGGGAGTAACTGTCGTGGAATGACGCACATCACACATAGGTGATTGAGGGGTCCTGCGGCTACATGGGGTTCACGTCAGATTCTTCAAGGATCTAGTAAACAGATTACATTTAAAAAAAATTGTGGGCAACATTCTCGGGTGTGAAAGCCTCCATACTGAGTGAGCCGCTACGGCTCGCGCACACAGCATGAGCTAACAGCAGTATTGTTCAGCTTGTGATCACAGCATCGCCTAAAAATGTCAAATATATATGTAACTGCTATTATTTAGCAATGATAGTATTACAGAAGACCCCTGACTATGATAAAAATGACCAGAATTCTGATAAAAGCCGGATTGTGGTGATAATTAATGCTGTGCGTAGTATAGTGGGAGGTGTAACGATGAGGAAGGGAGGTAACGTCGTCTGCTGACTCTGAGTGGCTACCTGTTATTGTTTGGACTCTCAATACCAGCTTAGTGGTTTGCTATGGTGAACACAGATGTAGCACTTATATATAACGTGTGTGTAATAACAGCAAAAGGAATATGTTGGGAGGAGCCATTTTGGTGAGGATGGTGGTGTCGTCTGGTAGCTGCTGTGTCACTTGTCAAGCAGTTTTCTGGGGGAGCCTCTTTGGCTCCCTGGAACTGTCTAGGCTGATATGAATGTATTAGAAAATTTCTAATTTCTGTTTTTCAAAAAATGCATGTTTTTACCTGTCACAGGTGTGGCATCTAAATAGTAGGTATATAAAAAATGCACGTATTTGAATGGAACGTTGTCAAAATTTCAAAGCAATCGGTGAAGAACTTTTGGAGATTACAGCGTGTGTTGTTCTTACATCCTACAGATGGCGCTGTTTTTAAAAAAAAGCATGTTTTTTCCTGTCACAGGTGAGGCATGTATATAGTAGGTATATAAAAACACTCGCTTATTCGAATGCAATGTTGTATAAAAATTTCAAAGCAATTGGTAAAGAGGTTTCGAAGATTTCCCTCTCATGAAAAACACTCGAAAAACACAGCTTTTCAAAAAAAGTGTGTTTTTTCCCGTCACAGACGGGACTCTACATAGTATGTATATAAAAACCCACTCGGATGCGAATGGAACGTTGTGTGAAAATTTCAAGGCAGTTGAAGAACTTTCGGAGATTAGCGATTTTGAACAAACGAACATTTCCATTTTTATTTACCTGTATATAGATTGCTCCTCTTATACATACGCTTGATTGTCTAGAGCTCCACGGTTAGTACAGTATTCAGAATATGTGGCTCGTTGGCAGTGTGTATCACTGACAGATCTCATAGTAACTAATGAGGTGGGCGTAAGGGTATATATACAGCACAGTATATGATTGTAACCAGGTCAACTAATCATCAATTGAATAACTATGGTGCACTATGTGTAAGACACCAATGTGCCACCTCATCTGTAGGTAGCACATTGGTGTCTTAGCCTTTGCTTCAATGCATATTGTCGCCCATATGGTGGCAATTAGCCCTGTGTGCAGGCCTTCTGATGAAGTGCCCGACAGAGAAAACTGGTGCATATGTGGTGTGTGGAGCGGATCTCTACATTAGGAAATGTTTCGCAGACTATCATGTTGAAAGAGTACTACAGTACACTGTACAATAGTACTGAAATATTGTGAATAGTGTACATATACATATATACATAGTAGGCCTTGAAAGATTATCCTTATTTAGTTAGTAATACATACTCGCTCCATGCTTTTGTGAATTATGTGCTCATGAATCAAGTTATTCAACTTATACAAACTATAGTAAATATAAAAACAAGTGGAAACGATTGTAGAAACATCCAAGATGAACACTGAAGTGGTGTGTCATACCACAGTGTAAGCACAGTGTCAGGTGTTGACAGACGCCACCCCAAATTACCCCCCTCCCCCTTTTGCAACCCTTAGCTGCTAATCTAAACTGTAAAAAGGTAGATATTTATTTTTTTCAGTTTTATTAAATTTTGCATCCAGATTAATAATTATATTAGGAAAAAAATAGTTTTTTGAATTTTTCATTCTTTTGATCATATGCTGGTATGGGTCTAAACTGAATGCTGCGTGTTGAGAGTTAAATTTTGATGGGAAGAAAATAAAGCTCTATGATGCAAGACCACTAACCATGTTTTAAAACTCAGTATGGTGATGTATTTTAGGAAGCTTGCAAGTTAGTTGGATGCTGGCAGTAAACGCGCAGGTACTGTTGTGACTTTCAGGAAAGGTGCTGTATTAAGTTTTTTTCTGTGATAAAGGGTGCGTATTTTATTTAAAGTTTTATTTTACTTTCAGGATAGCAGAAGCAGAAGCAGAACTGAAAGCAGTGGCAAAGGAACAAACTGAATTAAATACGAACCTGGAGTCCTGGCGTAATGATAAACGTGTCCTCATGTCTCGCAGGGAGGAAAGGTGATATCAGCCGTGCTTGTATACTTTTACTGAAATTGCTAGGGGGGGGGAACCCCTTGGTGGCTTCCTGAAGCTGTTGCTGAGATAGCTTCCCACTACTTAGCCACATCATTCATAGGCATCCTATTGCCCATATAGACCAGAGTCAGAATTTGGCCCCTTGAAGAAACACAAGGTGCAGGAGATTTTTACGATTCCCGTCACCAGAAATTCACCCAGAAAATAGAAGGGTCAAAACGGACAACTGAATGGTTTATGAAAACAAATAACTGAAATGCACATTTTTTAATGTGTAAAAAAATCACATTCAATGATTTTTCTAAATTACTGAAGATTAAGAGACAGCAAAAGAATAGCTCCAAATTTTTTTTTAATTAGAAAAGGTAGAAAACACTTGCCACCACACATGTGCATAGTGACCAGCTGGCAGCGTCACGACCAAGCTGGCATCCCATGCTTAGTCCTGTTGTTGATGCTTCATGTTCCACATCTAGTGCACCACACATGTGCATAGTGACCAGCTGGCAGCGTCACGACCAAGCTGGCATCCCATGCTTAGTCCTGTTGTTGATGCTTCATGTTCCACATCTAGTGCACCACACATGTGCATAGTGACCAGCTGGCAGCGTCACGACCAAGCTGGCATCCCATGCTTAGTCCTGTTGTTGATGCTTCATGTTCCACATCTAGTGCACCACACATGTGCATAGTGACCAGCTGGCAGCGTCACGACCAAGCTGGCATCCCATGCTTAGTCCTGTTGTTGATGCTTCATGTTCCACATCTAGTGTATTGTCCCAAATGTTTTAGTATTTTGCTCACAAGAATGTTTTCAAGCCACACTCTAAAGTAACTTGACTTTTTCTGCACGTTAGGGCTTCTTTCCCTATGTGCTCGTTTAGCATTGCTCATGCACTGTTAGTTTCTTCTCTGGTTTCTTTGCCCGAGAGGTCAAATGAAATCAAAGATTGTCTGTAAGCTAGACAAAAATGGTAACCATCAATGCTACTGCAAGGCTCAAGCCAACCCAAACCCAAAATGGTGGACACAAAAGGAAGTGAAGGCCAGAAACCTTCCTCTGTTGGTTTTCAGTTCGTCCACAGGAGGAACTGTAACACCAACTTTGCCAAATACGAGGGAAGCAGGAATTGTGGGAACATGACACAAATTGGTACACTGAATAGAATATGGAAGTGATCCCAGGAGGAGCTGCCACAGCACCCCACTTGAAACTGAAGGAGAAAGAGTGAATCCCTCTCAGGGGGGGAGGATAAAACCTTCTGCAGAAGGAATCAGAGACCAGGAAGGCTGAAGGGCAACCAAAGACCACCCTGGATTTCCTCCCAGCCCTGGAAGCCCAACTTTAAAGTCCCTGGTAAAGCTGAGCTCTGTGCTGGATGCTAAGACAGAGTGGAAGCACCACAATTGACTAAAGGGATCAAAGTCAAAAACCTCCCCAGAAATAGTAGGTAATGGATCCTCGGCAGTAAGCAATGGCTCGCCTGCCTCTGACATTGAAAAGGAAGGGGTGATCCCTGGAGAATGCCGAGCTACACCCCATGAGAAAAGCAGGTCAGGCATTGAAACCCAGAAACATCACAGAGCCCAAAGAACGTAGGGAAGGGAATATATTGGAGCCTGGCTAAGGCAACACAGCCAGATAAAGAAAAAAAAAAAGAGAAGTGAAATTAACTCTTGATGCTCTAAGATGAGAGCCCTAAAAAACAATGGGCAACCACACACCACCAATTCTTTGCCACCCGGAACTACAAGAACAAGAGGTCATAGATTTAAACTAACTAAACAAAGATGCCAAAGAAATATAAGAAAATTCACTTTTGCAAACAGAGTGGTAGAAGGTTGGAACAAGTTAAGTGAGAAGGTGGTGGAGGCCAAAACCGTCAGTAATTTCAGAGTGGTGGGAAGACGGGACACCATGAGCGTAGCTCTCATCCTGTAACTACACTTACGTAATTACTTAGGTAATTACACACACCATCACAAAACCAAATGGGCAAATGCCTATTTGGTTTTGTGACAACATCCCTCCTGTTAAATTTCCTTATTACAAAAGTAACAATGTGCCACCTGTTGAACCTCTTTACTACAAAAACAAAGTAAACAAAAAGACACAGACTGACTTAGTGAACCAAAGCATTGCATGTCTTTGCAATGCTTTGCAGAGAGTTGTGCCCAATCAAGATGTGAACTTTGGAGGCTAAACAAATGATCAGTAACCTGAGGCAGTGTTGACAAGCAACCCTCAAACTCGCACATAGCTAGTGCTAGCTCGATGAATTGATCAATCATTAGCCACATCTCGGACTCGCAGGTTAATTACAAAGGCCTAAAGGCAACTAACCTCGTTAGTTGCCTTTAACTGGGTCTTGTTGTGGAGTCACGTCTTGTATACTACCCAGGGCAAGGCTCTCCACCTCAGCAGCCTCTAGTGGGTGAATGCCTTCCCTTGTACACGTTCCCCCTATCATGAGGCCCTGTGGGCTATTATGTTCGTTTGCAGCCAACTTCTTTTTTTTCTGGCAAAGAACAAGTCGGTTGGCTTCCAGAAGGGTCCCTTTATCATTTGTTCAGCTGAGGATGCATCATGTGTATGTGGTGGCAGCTCTCTACCACTACTTTCATGCCACCGATTCTGCTTTGGTGAATGCCTTGTGGGTCAATCCTCATTCCTTTTTCTGTTCCAAGGCTCGTATTTCTGGGGTCATGTCTCTCGGCCAGGATTTTCATCCTCGTCCTGATTTTTGTGGAGTTCCCGCCTCCCTGATAGGTTCCCTATGTTTTCTTTCTTCTCCTTGGGTAGCTAGCTTCAGGGAGCCACGAGGAGCTTCCCCCAGAAAACTAGTGTTAAATGAATGAATTGCAATTTCTAGGCTCCCTGATCCTCCCCCTCCCTTCCAGGTCATCAGGTGGACGATTGTCTGTCCTAGAACTGAGCTTGAGGGGTGCTGGCTGGCCTTGGGCAGCCTTCTCCTCTCCGGAAATGAGTGGGGGAAGTGGGGTGAACGAGCTCTCACTAGCTCCGAGATATTTTGATCATTTGTTTATATAGTTGGGGAATTCTTTCAGATGGTTTAAAGGCTTCAGTCTCTTTTGAATCCAGCAGTGGTTTGTTTTAACTTGCTGACTTTCTGGATGCCTTCTCTGGTGTGGGGATGAAAATGTCACTGTTCCCTGTGCCTGTGAGAGGGGCGGGTGCTGGCTCTGGTCCCCGGTAAGCCTCGAGAACTCTGACTGACATGACCCAGTAGATGGTAACCATCTCAGGATGTAGCTTCCGGAAGTTATCAGGGCTTGTCCAGAAGTTGGCGTTTCATTACATCCAAAGCTAGTTTTATTACTTGGTACTGTATTTTATAATACTGTAAGTTTGAAGTGTGTACTTCCTCACTCACTAAAGCAGATGGATCTTTAGAAGATTTTGCTCGGCACACACTTTTGATCTATATTCTGAAGTATTATTACAAGACATTCACTCCACAGAAATCATCTTCAACAGAGGATAAGTAGTAAGAAGAATCAAATTGAACGGCGCAAGCAGGGAGCCATTGATCTTGAGGCTGAAGAAGGAAGGATGAAAGCAAAAATACAGGTAATGGCTGGAAACTTGTGTTGGTTGTTCTCTAACAAAATTAACATTACAATATGCCATAAACAGCAGTTGGTAGAGCAATGTTTCTCTCTACTGATGTTCTTCATTAACACACAAATTTCCTTGTATCCCATATTTTTTTTATTTTTATGAATGAAGACATTTGTTTCCTGACATCCTCAATAAACTTGTGTTTTGACTTCCCCATGCTGGACTTTCCTGGCATTACTTAGATTAAAATTACCTTGGCTTAGATCAATGCTAACTTCAAACACACGCCTTGGTGATTTGAGTGAGAAATTGACTCGGCCATGATGTTAACACCATGGAGTGGAAGACACGTGAAAAACAAAATTAGTGTACACAACCAGTAACACTAGCATTGGTGCTCGTCTGTGGCACAGTGGATAAATAATGAGGTGCAGCTAGTAGTCGGCAGCCTAACTAGAGTGGGTTCTGGAAGCTCTTCTACTCCCCAAGCTGTCTGGGGCCAGGCTTGTCTTGTGAGAACTTAGTCCACATCTGTTGCTTGGGGTGTTCTGTAGGCCCACATGTCAACTACATCCCCGTTGGTCTGGCATTTCCTGCAAGAACGTGTCTAATTTTTTTGTGTACACTTTTGTTCCAGCCATTATATCATAGTACATGATTACATGTGGAGCTGAATAAAGTGAACAGGTTTGATTGTGTGTCCAGTCTGGAACGGGATTACAGGTGGTATGACTAATAAAATGCAAATAACTTCAAGTAGTACCGTGAGAAAACTAACTTCTAAGGAAAGACAGTAAATGTGGTATTTAGTTTTAGTAAAAAGAGAGAAAGCACACAGAACTGTATATTACTTAGGAAAAGGTAGAAACAAAGGCCAAGCTTAACCTATGATTTAACTAGCCTGTTCTCTTGATTACAACTCCATATAAAATGCAGGGGTTTAACCTAACCAGAAGTGTTAGACCCTAGGTAACCTACCTAACCTACCAGAGCCTAATTATTAGGTTCATGAAGCATCAGTATTGTGGGGATTTTAAATTTTCCCTAATCTGCAATTTGGGTGTTGAGGTTGTCTCCCATTATGTACAGCGGCCAGTTCTGTTCCTCCGGGAGATGTTGTGCTTTCGTGGGGTTTTCTTTTTCTTTTTGTTTATTTTGCCTGGTGGGGGGTCTGTCCCCCTTGGTTCTGATCCACTTTCTTGTATATTGGTGGTCCTCCGCTAGGTCCCTGTGCTTGTACACGTCGCATGGGTTCAGTTTTGGCAGTTTCTCTTGGTAGTTTGGGCCTAACCGGTTAGCAGTATCTTGCCTGGGCTTCCCTTAGCAGTCAGCTTAAGGGCCCTGGAAAATTCCATTGGGGCTCATTGGATCTATGGACGCGTTCTCTGGGTTCCAACCCACCAAGTGCAGGGTTGATGGTTTCTCTGTCCCCTTGTTTCAGGATGACGCTCGCCTGTTTTGCCTCCATCATGCCGCCTGCTGGGTCAATGACATTTTTTACCCTGAGTCCTGCGAGTCTTGTTCCTTGCTTGAGCCCCAGTTTACCCATTCTACTGATATTGATGTTTGGGTACAGGCGGCTTCAGCATTGCATGCACGGTATCGGTTACTGCAGTTGTTGCTCACCCGGATGCCCCGTTTGGGTTATGGGGACCTGAACTTAGGAACATTAGTCACTTATATTGGTTTCGTCTGCGCTCCCGAGTTCTTCCCAGGTTGGTGTTTGTCCTGCTTCCGGTTCCCATATGTCTGAGGATTTCGGAGTTGTGGCAGGGTTTAGATGGAAGTGAGACTCGGGGGGCTGCCCCATCTGGGTTGGCGACGGAAGCATTTGAGCCAGTTCCTTCCCCCGAAGCTTCTGGGTTTTACTAACAGACCCCTTCTTTTCTGCTTTTACCCTGGGCTCGGCCTTTTCTATGGGGGCTGAAAGTGTGAAGGCTGGCTTTGCCCCGGGTCCTGACATGGAGGATCACGGGACTGGGGAGGAGTTGACTTGGGGGGGCTTGGGCCCCGTTTAACCCCGCTTGGGTGTTGGTACCCTCTTTGTGGACTTATGTTTGCAGGGGGAGGGGTTTTCTCATGCCCTCATCCTGTATGAGTATGATTTGTCTTCAGCTCCTCCCCGGGTTCAGTTTCGGGTTCCCTTGTTTGTTTGTTTTATTTATTTATTTATATATATACAAGAAGGTACATTGGGATTGTGAGGATACATAGCATAGTAATTACATTCTTGTAAAGCCACTAGTATGTGCAGCGTTTCGGGCAGAAACGGGTTCTTGGGTTCTCCGAATCCTTCCTTCCGGAGGTTTTTGGCTTCTCGAATCCCACCTAGGGAGGTTCGGGAGGCCCTCGTTGTGTACCTCCTGCGAGACCCGGATTACGCCTCGGTTATGGATTCGTCTGCTTTTGAGTTCGCACCTACTTTTCCCTTTTGGGTGCATTACGAGGGACCGGAGTTTTCCTGGCTAGCAGACTGCCCTTTCTTTTCATTGGGTGTGTGGCATAGGTTTTGTCGGACCCCGCACGCTTGATTGGTGGGAGACTTCTGCTGTTGTACAGGTTTACCAGGGGGGGTGAGTACGAGTTCCTTAATGTGTGCTTTTTCGCCCCTGTGCTTCCTAGGGACGTCGGAGTTGTGCAGGTTCCTTCCCTTTCGGCTGTTTTGGTTGCTGAGGAATTGCTCGCCTGTGGGCAATTGGCCTCGGTCTTGCTTTTCTTTTCCCCTTCTCGGGCTGTCCTCAAATTGGCTTGAGGGGGATGTGGAGGTGCTGGGTGCCAGGTCTTTGTCTGGTGTGCATACCTCTGCATCTCGGGCATTGGCTGCTATATTGAAGTTGTTTGAACCGATTCTCAAGGAGGCGGCCTGTTTTTTGCTTCTCGCCTCATGTGTCAACAGGCTGTGCTTGCACTCTCCTTGGAATCTGCTTAGGTCTTGGCTATTTATGTTTCCGTTGCCTTTTTGTCCGTTGCTGTTTGCAGAGTCTGCTGTCATGCAGTTTCTGCAGGCCCATGTCGGACTTGTTGGTTCTCATGGGGACCATGATGGCTCTTCTCGTAAGGATCATGCCAGAACTCTGGGTTCTTCCAGTTGTGGTAGGGCAATTTCTGAGCCGGCGCTTTCTTCAGAGCCGGCGTTGTCTGGTTGGTGCATTGATCGCTCAGCTCGTCGGTCAGCTTCTTGCAAGGGGCATCGGCTCTTTTGTGGATTGCCCCATTGATGGGGTGATGGGGAGGAAGCTCGTGCTGTTTGCTTACACCTGATCCCATGATACGTGGGCGTTTCGGGCTGTCTCTTCCGGTCTGCGATGGCGTTGGGTGGTTCCTCCTCCTTTGGGGGGGTTCTGGGCTGGCCTCTTCCCCTGCGCTCTGTCGGGTCGTCTTGGAGTGGGTACGCTTGAGCATGGTCAAAACGTCCAACTCCCTCAGGTGGGTTTCTTGCCTGTTTCCAGGATCTGAGGTTCATTCTAGACTTGTCACATCAGAACCCGTGGATCTTTTGGCTCTCCTTTCGGCTGACCACTCTGTCCCAAGTCTGGCTTCTCTTGGAGCCAGGTGCTTGGGTGGTGTCTCTGGACCTCCGGAACTCATATTGGCACGTCCCAATTCACTCTTAGTTCAGGGATTGGTTAGGGTTTGTGGTGGGGCGTCAGGCTTTCCACTTAACACACTGTTGTCAGTGAAGGAGACATTTCTCCTGCTGTAATACATATTGCACTATACTGTGGGAATATTATGGCTATGCAATGAATAGTTTTCATATACGTGATGTAGTTTATATAACTTTATATTGACCCACTTTTGTATGTAATATCACTAATTTCTGTTTCTTGTAGGATATTGTGAAAAATATGGTTGATGGGTGTGGCATGAGCGGAGAGGCTCTGAGCACATCTGTAGAGGGATTTAAGAATTATCACAAAATGATATGTCGAGCAAAGACAGCACAAGCAGCTCTGCAAGCCTTCGAAGAGCGGTTGAATTCATCGGAAAGAGAAATAGCAACTTTGCAGGTATGAAACTTGTTGTTTATCACTGATTTGTTGCATTTATACTTTCTTTTCTGTAGGGAGACTCCCTGAAGCTATCCGAACTGATGTTTGCTATATTACTTTGGGGTCATTAGTCACTTATGCCTACCAGGAACCACGAGCCAGAACCTGGCTCCCTCAGAGAGCTACAGGGAGCAATGGCCTACGAGCACTACATTTAAAGTACAGAATGTCATAATTCCCATCGACTAGGAAAGGCATTCAGAAAGCTCTCACAAGTCAAGCCTGGTCTTGGGCTGGGCTTGGGGAGTAGAACTCCTCTTAGTACCCCATCAGGCAAATATCAAACTCCCCTCTGAACCTGGGTGTTCTGTTCATTAGGTCCAGGTGTTCGTTTTCTTTGTTTGCAGCCTTTTCCTTCTTTCATGGCGAAGAATGAGACAGCGGGTTTCCGAAGGAGTCCATTGGTTGTGGATGACTGGTTGGTTAGGCCAGGGGTGCATTATGTGTCGTGTCTGGTGGCGGCATTCTGTCGCTGCCTGCGAGCCACTATTTATGTGATGCAGGACGCTCTGTGGATGGATCTGGTTTCCCTGGTTCCCTGTTCCAGGGCTCGTGTGTGTCAGGTTGTCCACAGTGTCATAAAGTTCAGCCAGCCTGCTGCCTACCCTTGTGCCCATGACATTTGGATGTATGCTGCTCTCAGAGCGGTTTCTGTGGGGAACCCACTCCAGCTCCCTGGAGCTATCGGACTGATATGCGATATATATTAGTCTGGGGCATCGGTCAATTGGAGTTCAGCCTACTGGAGACCACGTGCCAGAACCTGGCCTCCTCAGATAGGCAATGGGAGCAATGACCTATGGAAACCCCCCTTGTATTTTGGGACATTCCATGTCTGCAATCGACCAGGGTTAGCATCCAGAAAGGTAGGCATAACAAAACAGACCCCACATAGTAAGAAAATTGCAACCAAAGACCAAACAGAGGCATAACTCCCCCCAACCTAAAGAAGAAGCAAACAAGCAAACATCACACTGAAGAAAAACAAGACTGAAAAACAAGAGTTGCGAGAAGCTAGAGATGTTAAATAGGCCAAAGTTAGCAGGTAGAAAAAAGAAGCAGTATGATCACCAATTACAAAATAATAACTGGAATTGACCAAATTGACAAAGAAAAATTCCTGAAACTGGTAACCTCACGAACAAGAGGTCATACATTCAAGATAGTCTTGCAGTTACCTTGCGATGATTTTGAGGCTTAGCGCCCCTGCAGCCCAGTCCTCAACCAGGCATCCTGGTTGCTGGATTGGTTAACCAGGCTGTTGGATGCGGCTGCTCGCAGCCTGATGTATGAATCACAGCCTGGTTGATCAAGTATCCTTTGGAGGTATTTATCAAGTTCTCTCTTGAACACTGTGAGGTGGTAGGCCAGTTATGCCCCTTAAGTGTAGTGGAAGCGTGTTGAACAGTCTCGGGCCTCTGATGTTGATAGTTCTCTCTGAGTACCTATTGCACTGCTGCTTTTCAATGGGGGCATTTGGCACAATCTGCCATGCCTTCTGATCTCATGTGGTATTATTTCTGTGTGCAGGTTTGGGACCAGCCCCTATACTGTTTTCCATGTGTAAATTATTATGTATCTCTCCCGCCAGTGCTCAAGAGAATACAGATATTGGCCTTTTAGTCGTTCCCAATAGTTTAGATATTTTACTGAGTGAAACTTTTACTGAGGAAGCAAACATGTCAAAAAAAAATTATAAAGTTTTCTTTTGCAAACAGAGTGGTATACAGTTGGAACAAGTTAAGTGAGAAAGTTGTGGATGCCAAAATCATCAGTACTGTAGTTTCAAAACGTTATATGACAAGGAGTATTGGAAAGATGGGACACCATGAGCGTGGCTCTCATCCTGCAACTACACTTAAGTAATTACACTCACTCACTCACTCTAATTCTCGCACACTTACTCTCACTCTTACTTTAGGGTTGTATCTAGGTCCTCCCCTACAATGTCGAACTATTAACCTTTTCCCAGGATGCAATCCCACAACAATTGCCAACTCCCTGGTACGTATTTATTGGTATGTGAACAGAGGTATTAGTTGAAAGGAAACGTGTTCAACCATTTATGTCCCGCCTGGGAATCAAACCAGGGATCCTCAATTGTGAGTCGAGAACGAAGCCAACTGTACTACAAGACCCTATTGATCCTTGTGAATTTTGAATACTATTTTCTTTTTATATGAATTACAATGTAGGACTTATAATTAGCTTAGTCCTTTAGGGGTTAATATATGTACAAGGCTCCTTATATGTTTTTGCTTTCAGGAAAAGCTGGCAGAGATGAACACTACTCTGGAAGTGTACAAGTCGGAGGCCCAGTTGTCACTCCATAAGCTCCTACGAGCCCTGGGAGTCAGCGACTATCGCCAAATTTCACCTGATGTAAGAAATTTTCCGTTTTGTTTATCTGTGGTGATATATATTTTGTCACATTAGGAAAGTATCTTATTAATCTTAATTTTTTGTGTAGTATGACTAGTCAACTTTTGAGGTTCTGACACCAAGGGGGATCTTCTTAAATGATTGTGCAGCCATAATTATCTGGTTAGACAGTGCCATAATTATCTGGTTAGACAATTATCTGGTCCTGTGATGGACCTCAGGAATAGTGCAGGCAGGACCCAGACAAAATGTCCCGGGTTCAATTCCCACGGCAGGACAAATCATCTGGGAAAATGTTTCCTTTTCCCTGATTCTTTTATTAAGCAAGCAGCAAATACCTGTGACTTAGACAACTGTTATGGGTTGCATCTCGGGGAAGATCAGTAGTTGGCCTAGGGGAGGTTTCGGTGAGTCTGACAGCTAGGCTTCCTGTCCTCATTTTACAAGAAAATACATATGATGAGCCAAAGGACAGGATATTCAGGAAATTAATTAATTTTTCTTTCAGATTCGTAATGAATTTCAACACTCCAACCTGGAACAAACAGAGAGAGAGTTGGCCGAGAAGGAGGCGCATCGGGAATGTCTCGTTACTGCTAGTGATAGTGTAAGTGTTAATTAATGGTTTATTGCATGTTTATTTATTCTCTATATTCCAGGGCCTGGATTTATCAAGCATTTATGCATCCTTTTAGGAAACTTGGACATCTTTCCACAATCATGGCGACTTGTTCTGCATTTATTCGACAGTTTACGAGCTTTGGAATTTTGCAACCCAAGGTTATTATTGTTATAATAGACACCAAGGTTATTATTGTTATAATAGACAACCTCATAATGCCTTGTAGGTCATAAACTTTTTAATAAATGCAAACAAAGCCACCATGATTGAAGAAAGATGGATAAGTCTTTAAGTGAATACTTAAAGCCCTAGCCCTGGATCCATCCTGCATTCTCTCCAAGAATGCAACTTCATTTGTGTTCCATCTAAGAAAGTCACTTTTCATTAGATGTAATTTGCTGTGTAATTTGCCTGTAATGGGATGCCAAGCATTGCTGTTGCCCTGACCTACACAGCTGTGCTGTGAGGTCCTGCTGCATGCACCAGCCTTGGTTGCTCTGGCAGTACTGTACCAAGACATTCACAGCCAGGAGGGATGCAGACATTTTTTCTGGGGAGAACCCCTTGAGGCTACCTGAAGCTATTACACTCATTCAGTGCCATACTACTAGGTATCATCAGTTGGGGAACTCTTATTGGCATACCGGAGACCACGAACCAGAACCTGGCCCTCAGAGAGGCGCAGGGAGTTGTAGCACTGAAAATCTTGCATTTAAATTTATTCATAACTGCCACCACGAGGAAGAGCACCCAGAAAGTCAACAAAATTATTGTGTGTACCTGGTCTCCCATTTTAATGATGGACTACCTAGTGTCCATGTTGTGCTTTTGAAGGCCAATCTTACACCACTTCTTGCTCCTCATTCTTGGGCCTTCTTCGTGCGTGGGGGTTTTTGGTGATTGCACAGGGTCCCAGCAGCCAGGTGTCTTGTGGATGTTCCTGGTCTTCTGTGGCATTGAGTCGTAGTTTGTGACCGTTGGTATTTTTTTTTTGTTACCTGCGGTGCTTCCTCCTCCCTGGTGTGTGCTCTTTTTACTTCTGTGGGTAGATAGCTTCAGGGGGAGCCTCAAGAGGCTCCCCCCGAGAAAACTAGTGTTGAATTTAATGAATCGCCAATTTCTGGTTTAATCCCGGAGGCTCCCTGACACCCTCCCTTTTCCAGGGTGTTGGGATGTTTTCATCATCTTAAGAACTGGTGGAGGAGGCAGCCGGCTGGCCCGGCTTGCCTTCCTCCTTCCCCCAAATGAGAGGGGAGGGGGAGGTAGCGAGTTCTAGTGCACCCTGGTTTCACAAATTTTTGATAGTTTGTGTATGTTGTTTGGGGGGAGTTTTTTTGGCAGTTTTGAGGCTACAGTCTTGTTTCTAACCATGCAGTGGTCTGTTTTGTTTCACTGACTTTCTGGGTGGTGTTAGACATGAATAACTTTAAATGTAAGGTTTTCATATTGCTTCTACTCCCTGCGCCTCTCTGAGGGAGCCAGATTCTGGCTCGTGGTCTCCGGTAGGTCAGTAAGAGCTCCGCAACTGATGACACCCAATAGTATGGCACTGCATCTGTGTAATAGCTTCAGGGAGCCTTTGGGGCTCACTCAGAAATTGGCATTTCATTACATTCAATGCTGGGTTTTTCAAGGTGGTGTCTCTATACTGAAGTTCAGAGGAACAGGATGTGAGCCCTGTGTATCAGCGGGAGTTTTGAATCTTACAATATACTAATATATGTGATATGCTGGTGTGTGTGCGCACTCTTTTTCCATGCTATCATGGCATGCACAATAGTGGCTAGTGTTATGTGACCTGCACATATGTTTAGTGTGTGTGTGTGCCTATGTTCTTAAAGCATTGGTTTAAGTTTACATTAGCTAGCCGTCTTTCCTAGCATATTTCTGTGAAGTTTTGGTTTGCTTGTTCCCACTTGATCCATTTATTAAAATTGAATTTGCCAAATTCTCCTCCTCCTCTTTATTTGAGACTGACTGCACTGGTCTATTGCCCATGCAGGTCTGAACATCAATTAGCTTGTGATTTGAGTAACGAGTATTTGTAAACATTGTCATTAATCAGTTCATCATTATTTGTAAAAGTAAGATCTAGGGTACCTTCTTTTCTAGTTGATTCTACTATTTGTTTTCTTGTTTAAGGCAAATCTGTCACACATCTGTAAGAGGTCATTCTTGTGTGACTGTTTATTTAGACTGTTTCCTTGGATTCTCTCTGGTATAACTGTATTTGCCACATTTTTCCATTTTAGGTTTTGTAAATTGAAGTTGCCAAGCAAGATGTTGATTTAGGCAAGATTTGTGAGGTTTTCTAAGCAGTATTCTATTTTTGCAAGTTGGTCTTTAAATTGCTGAGGATTTGTATCGGATGATTTATATACAAGGACAATTGTCACACTACTGTGGAGACCATTATTGTACAGTACAGTGTTTACTGGCCATTAGTTTTTAATTGTCTTTATTAAAAATTTATTAAAATAAAATCTATGGCAATTAGAGCAGAAAAGTGTAGGATTTTTAAGTCAAATTTCATTATTTTTCATTAATTTTATTCATGTTTTATTTTTCAGGAAGTACAAGAGTACAAAAAGCGTGAAGTTGAGGTACGGCAGTTGCGGAGGAAATTGGATGAGGCCCAACTGACTGCTGAGAACCACCAGGAGGAGTTGGAAAATATCAAAACTAGGTAAAGACAGGATGCTTGAGACATAGCTCTGGCCTTTTTTCATTTCATGTAATACACTTGTTATTCAAGATTTTTAATCTGTGCAATACCCAAGTGTGTGGCTTGCTGTATTTTCATGGTATAAAAGATGGCTCGCCGGCATATTTTAATTATTGGCAATATTTTATGCCAGCAATTATACCAAATTATTTAATTATGCCAGCATATTTTAATTAAGCTGGCGACTAACCTAACCACCCAGACCGAATCAAATGTAATTTAACCCAACCGAGCATATCACAGCAAACAATATACAGTACTGTATTCAGTTTTGACAATCGGAAAGTGAGTTATCAAACAGTCTTGTGTACAATGGAGAGCTAAGTTATTGGATGTGGCAACACGACACTTTCTGAGCCAACATGTCAAGGAATGTTACAGTATTATGTTTTTGAAACGCAGTTGCCTGCGTTTCAACAGGCAACCACAAGAATGAGTGAGCGACGAGCCAGCCAGACTTGACCAGCTTAACTTGATATTCACCTTGAATGAGTCAGACATAAGGGAAGTCAAATTAAAAGCCCCCATGGGAATGAGTTACCACAGCGTACTGACATTTGAGTATCTGGTGGAAGTAGGGATAACATATCTAAGGAAAGGATCCGAAAGGAATAGGCTGGCCTACCAAAGAAGAAACTATGATGAGATGAGGAAATTCCTAATTGTAATAACATGGGCAACAGAATTTGGAGAAATGTCTGTACAAGATATGATGAACTAAGTCACCCAAAAGGGCCAGGAAGCTGCAGACAAGTTTATCCTGGCCCAAAAGGAGAAAAATTAAAATGTTTAATCAGGCATGTTAGAAAGGAAAACAATTAAGTGCAAGAACTCATAGATAACATCAGAGAGCAGAGGGAGATACCAGAGGGCCAGGAATGAGTACCTCAGAGTGAGAAGAGAAGCAGAGAGACGGTGTAAAAACGACATCACAATTGAAGCCAAAACCCAACCAAAACTGCTCCACAGCCACAGCAGGAGGAAAACAGCAGTGAAGGAACAAGTGATGAAACTGAGAAAGGGGAAGAACAGATACAGAATGACAATGAGGTGTATAAAGACTTCAATAAGAGATATCAAGAGGTCTGTACAATACAGCAAGAAGTTGCTGTTCTATGAGAGGAGGTGGTAAACTAAGCTACCATGGAGGCATTTGAGCTTGCCAAAGACGAGGTCAAAACGAATCTGTTGGTGCTGAAGTGACAAAGGCTGTTGGGCCTAACACTCTCACCATGGATACTAACAGGGGGTGCAGAAGTACTTCATGTGCCACTCTCTGTGGTGTATAACAGGTCATTGGAAAAAGGAGACCTAACAAAGTTGGAAGACAGCTAATTTAGTCCCAAAAAACAAGAAGGGTGACAGGCACAAGGCACTGAACTTCAGGCTGGTTTCCATAACTTGTATATCATGCAAAATAATGGAGAAGATTGCGAGGAAAAAGCTTGTAGAAAATCTAGAGGGAAGGAGCTTCGTAACACACCACTGGCATGGGTTCAGAGAGCACAAATTGTATCTCATAGGTCATAGATTTCTATGACCAGGAAACAATAATTAAACAAGAAAGAGAAGGGTGGGCAGTCTGCATTCTTAGACTGTTAGAAAGCCTTTGAGACAGCACCCTACAAGAGTATATTAAAAAAATTGGTGAAAGAGGCAGGAATAAGAGGTAAGGTGCTTCAGTGGATAAGGAAGTTTCTAAGCAACTGAAAACAGGTAGTTACTGGGATGGGAAGGGGAAAATGAAACCTTAAAGTGATGAGATGTCACCTGCAGAGTCCCACAGGGCTTTTTACTTGGACCTATCCTGTTTCTGATATGTAAATGATCTTCCAAGGGGTATAGACTCGATCCTCTCAATGTTTGCTGATGATGAGAAGGATCAAGGCAGAGGAAGATAGAAAGAGACTACAAGATAACCTGGACAAATTGGAGGAATGGTCTAGAAAATGGCTACTAAAGTTTAACTCCAGTAAGTGTAAAGTAAGGAAATTAGGTGAAGGAAGCAGGAGACTGAACACAAAGTATCATCTCTGAGGTTAAATCCTTCAAGAGTTAAGTAGAGAGGGAGATCTGAGTGTTGATATCACACTGAACTTGTCCCCAGAAGTCCACATCAAAAGGATATGAGCAGCATATGCAAGATTGGCCAACATAAGAACTGCCTTTAGAAACTTGTGTAAGGAATCGTTCAGAACCTTGTATATCACATGTCAGACCACCTGGAGTCCATACCTAGGTAAACACAAGACAAGTATGAGAAGATTCAGAGGTATACCACTGGACTAGTCCCAGAGCCGAGAGGTACAAATTATGAAGAAAGGCTACGGGAATTAAACCTCGTGTCCTTGAGAGACAAAATAAGGGAAACATAATTTCCACCTACAAATTTCTCAAAGGAATTGACAGGGTGGACAAAGACAAACTATTTAGCATGGGTGTAACATGAATAAGGAGACAAGTGGAAACCTAGTACTGTACTAAAAGTTTTCCCTTTCCCCTCCTGGGGAGAGTTAAGCTGTGCAGATAGCGACGTGGCACATGGTGATGTCATGCTCATTTACTCATTTGTCTTTGGGGAGTTCTGTCCACTCGTTTGACTTTCAGTAGTAATTTCAACCAGAATAACGGTTTGTTTTGGGATGCTTACATTTCTGGGTGCCTGACCCGGTCGATGGCAGACATAGAAGGCTCCAAATCACATGTGCAATTATATAGGCCATTGCTCCTTGTGCCTCTCTGAGGGGGACCAGATCCTGGCTCGTGACCTTTTGTAGGCCTAAGAACTCCATTCACACTGATGCCAAAATCTAATGATGTATATCCATATCAGCCTGGATAGCTCCGGGAAGCCTCCGGGTCTTTCCCAGAAAATGGCGTTTCATTACATACAACACTGGTTTTTTTTTTCTTCAGCGTCTCGGTTTTCTTGGTGTACTGTACAGCATTTAAATGTTTTGTATAAGAATGGTTTGCAGTACTGAAGCTGTAGGATTGGCTCTGTGGTAATATACACCAATTGTCCTGCAGATGGCTGCCACGTGTCAACGAAATAACGGAGAAAATCAGTGCCAGTTTCTCCAGTTTCATGGCACGGATGGGATGTGCAGGAGAGGTGCTGCTTGACAAAGGAGAAAAAGATGATGACTTCAGTAAATATGGCATTGTTATCAAGGTGCGGTTTCGGGACAGTGATCGTCTTCGAGAATTGACTGCTCACCACCAGTCTGGTGGTGAACGTGCAGTGTCAACAGCACTGTATCTCCTTGCCCTCCAAAGTTTGGCAGTTGTGCCTTTTCGTTGTGTTGATGAGATTAACCAGGTAATGTGTATAAGTGAATTTTGACAATGGTTTATGAAGTTAAAGCTGAAAAAAATTGGAAAAATTAAATTGTAGAGTAACATTTGATACTAAAGCAAGTTATGAGTGTCCAAGAGTCCTTTATAGTGAAATTCCTAAATAACCTTTTTAAAGGAAATCTTTTGTACAAGTGTGAAATAATGTCACCAAGTTATAGATATGTTAGAAGTGAGACAATGAAAATGCTATTTGACATCCAACCCACAATTCTGAAAATAAAGAATTGATGATGTTTGTCTGCCCTGGACCATGATCAACTCTAATTTTCAGCTACTATATTATGCCATATTGTCTGCATGCTACACGAGTCATTAAATTGTATTTAGAATCCTTACAAGGGTAAAAATACTAAGTATTTAAAACTGAATATTTGAGGAGGAAATCATTAGGTCAGTTAATAGACGAGAGTAACTATACATTACACAATGTAACTCAATTTTTGTTCCTAGGTAGTGTTACTTCTGAATGCTTGTCTCCAGAGTATAGAAAATAGCTGTTATTCTCCTCAAACTTTGCTTTGACATTTGCCTCACACAGCTTTGGGAAATACATCTTGAAGGTACATTACTTGAAGGCTGCAGACTTCTTATCTAGGGCTGCGATACGTTTCATAGGTCTGCAGCCTTCACGTACTTTCAAGATACCTTCCCTAAGCTTTCTGAGGCAAAGGTCAAAACAAAGTTTGAGGTGGGGGAATATTAGCAATTTTCTCTACTTTGAAGGCACTTCTCTACCTAGGCAATCAGAATATAACACTCCCAAGAAAAAAAAAAATTATTAGTGTTTTCAGTCCCTTGTTTTCCAGTCCCTTGTTTCCTACAGTGGTGATGGTTTATTAAGAAAGTACTGTAAATTCAAATCAACAATTTACATGATGCCTGAAATGGCCAAATGTCAAAATACAATTATGGAAAACATTCAATTGCCATCTAGAAACAGGCCATGCATTCACTTTTGATCTATGGTTATATAATGGGGGATTGTCATGTACCTTATACCTCGTGATTTCATCTCTTCTTTTTTTTTTTCAGCTTCCCCAAAGCAACATGGTGAACATATTTTACATTTTATCACAATCAGAAATGTTAAACATTCTTTGATACTTGTTAGCTATAAACATATTAGTTAAAATTTAGCCGATTTCCACATAATGTGTACAGTATATCTAGTTCTTTTCAGACTAATGTCATGGGCTTCGACATAATGTATCCGGTGTCAATGACAATGTGGCTAGAAACATTTATAAAAATAATTGTTATTAGAGTTAATATTATCGTTATTAATTGTATTCTTTTATGATATTGATCAATAATTGGGTTTGCAGGGTATGGATCCCATTAACGAGCGGCAGATGTTGAATATGCTGATGGAAACGGCAGCATCGGAAGACTCTAGCCAGTATTTCTTCGTTTCCCCAAAGGTCGGATTAGATTGATTAACCTTAGATACAAGATGTTCTTTTGTTGATTTTTCCATATATTGTTTTGAAAATACATTTACAGTATTGTATATATAAAACAGCTCCACACTTGCCTGAAATGTCAAAATTATGATAAAAAACGTGCATTTTGTTTTGTTCAATGAGGCATATCTTGAGTATTTCAGATTGTGAATACCTCTGTGATCACAATGGGTTTGTTTAGCATTTTCTGTGGGGAGCCCCATTAGCTCCCTGGAGCTATTGGGCTAATATGCAATTCATTAGACCAGAGCATTAGTTATAAGAGTTCAGTCTACCGGGGACCACGAGCCAGAACCTGCCCCCCCTTCCCCCCTCAGCAAGGCACAGGGAGCAATGACCCTGGAAAACTTCCCCCTTGTGGTTGGGGGTTTTCATTACATGCCATTGACCAGGGTTAGGAACCCAGAAAGGTAGGCATAACAAAACAGACCCCACATGGTAAGGTAATTGCAACCGAACAGAGGCAGAACTCCCTCCAATCCCAAGGAAACACGCAAATGTAACACCCCCACCGCCTTGTCGTTCATCCGCGCAGACCCCCCGCGCTGGCGACCTAGCCATTCAAGCTTGTCGGCTAATGCAATCCAGGGTGGTCATCATCTCGGGCCTCGAATTCCTACCCAGTGTTTTGCCTTAGTGGTATCCTCTGCTGTTTATGGTGTGGTGGCCAGATGTACCTGAAGTGTACCAGGGCTGCATTCATTTAGGCCAGCCTTCCCTAAGTGCCCTCCGAGGGCACTTAGGGAAGGCTGTAGAGTGAATGAAGTTTGAAGAATGAAGTTCATAATTATAATTCATTGTGTCCGGGACAGGCAGCCAGTGTGTGTTTATGCACATTAGGCTTATATCAAGGTTCCCCTCCATCACCCCTCCCACCCATCACCCCCCCTCCCCCACTATCACCCCCATCATCACCCCCCCTCCCCCACTATCACCCCTTCAGGTCAAATTACAGAATTCCCCAGGATGATACCCCACAAGAAGTTGACTAACTCCTGGGTATCTATTTACTGCTAGGTGAACAGTGGCATTAGGTGATAGGAAATGCACCCCCATCCATTTCTATCCTGCCTAGGATTCCAACCCGGAATTCTCAAGTGTGAGTGGAGAACGGACCCCACTGTACTATCACAACCCTCCCAGGATATTATGTAAGGAATGACCTATATGAGTAGTATCAGTGTTATGTAATTTATGAACTGGGTGGGGATTATATTGTGTAATGAATGAGCTATGTAGGGAGTATATTATGTCATGAAGGAGCTATGTTGGGAGTATATTATGTAATGAATGAGCTATGTTGGGAGTATATTATGTCATGAAGGAGCTATGTAGGGAGTATATTATGTCATGAAGGAGCTATGTTGGGAGTATATTATGTCATGAAGGAGCTATGTTGGGAGTATATTATGTCATGAAGGAGCTATGTAGGGAGTATATTATGTCATGAAGGAGCTATGTTGGGAGTATATTATGTCATGAAGGAGCTATGTTGGGAGTATATTATGTCATGAAGGAGCTATGTTGGGAGTATATTATGTCATGAAGGAGCTATGTTGGGAGTATATTATGTCATGAAGGAGCTATGTTGGGAGTATATTATGTCATGAAGGAGCTATGTTGGGAGTATATTATGTCATGAAGGAGCTATGTTGGGAGTATATTATGTCATGAAGGAGCTATGTTGGGAGTATATTATGTCATGAAGGAGCTATGTTGGGAGTATATTATGTCATGAAGGAGCTATGTTGGGAGTATATTATGTCATGAAGGAGCTATGTTGGGAGTATATTATGTCATGAAGGAGCTATGTTGGGAGTATATTATGTCATGAAGGAGCTATGTTGGGAGTATATTATGTAATGAATGAGCTATGTAGGAAGTGTATTATGTAATGAATGAGCTATTTTGGGAGTATATTAAGTAATGAATGAGCTATGTAAGGAGTGTATTGTGTAATGAATGAGCTATTTTGGGAGTGTATTGTGTAATGAATGAGCTATGTAAGGAGTGTATTGTGTAATGAATGAGCTATGTAGGGAGTGTATTATGTAATGAATGAGCTATGTATGGGAGTATATTATGGGCCTGCGGGCCGCTCCAAACAACAGTCTGGTGGACCAAACTCGCCCAAGTCAAGCTTTGCCTCGGGCCGGGCTTGGAGAGTAAAACACCTCCCAGAACCCCATCAAGCAGGTATGGAATGAAATAGCTGTGTAAGGAGTATATTATCAATGAACTATGTACGGAGAGTATTAGCTTGGCTGAAACAAATAAAATGATCCACACATATTAAATGAAAGTGACACCATTTTGGCCTGTTCTTGTCATGAGTTGATAAGGGCGCAGGATGCCCTTGAAGATTGCCACTTTCATTTAATTTTATGTGTGTGGTTTAGTGAAAATATGATATGATGGAAGAGCTGTGCAGAGAGAATAATGTGTTGAGAATATGTGATGTGATGTATGAGCTATGTCAGGCGAACATGTGAACCATCTTCTCAAATACTACATTGCATTTTGATGGATAAATTATCTAACAGCAAAGACTGATAAACTAAAAATCACAGAGGCTCTCAAAATTGATTCCCCCCCCCCCCTTATCTAGATTAGGTTCGGGCAGTTTAGTTCATCAATTCATTGACGTTATTAATGCTCAAGAGGACAGGCAGGAGCGTGATGCAACTGATGAGTTGATGAGTTCATTGTTAATGCGAGTTTATCTACCTCCACAGTTGATACCTAACATGACGTACAATGAACACATCAATCTGATGGTCGTCTTCAACAGTCAGACGATGCTGCCGCATCGCAAATTTTCCCTGAAGAGAATTCTACGCAAGAGGAATGAACTTAACAATAGGGAAGCAAGAGCAGCCAGATAAACAGTTCATAATTTTCTCTTCATTCATCCTGTTGGTGCTGCAAGCCATTTTGGTGTTGACAGTAGTGAGAACAATGTTTTCTTTTAGTAGTTACATATCCCCGTACAGTATTTCCAGTATTGTTTGTATAGTACAATGAAAACACTAATGGTCAGAAGTGTTACTGTTGTTATAAATGGTTAAAACAAAATAATGGGAAACGTTTGCAAACTTGTGTTTTGGGGGGAAGCTGATTTTGATGAAATGTCATATTTCAAATACTGTGTGTCCATGAAGGTGAAAAGTGATCTGTGTTATTCACATGGTGGTGAATATTGACCCGTGTCATCAACGGCATGAATGTGCCATGAGAACTATGATGGGTACGAGGATACCACATTGGGAAGAGGTGGTCAGCAGCTTGTTTGAGGAGCCCCCTCCTTCCCCCCCCTTCCCCATGCATCTTTTCTTCATAGTGGCTATTTGTTCAGAATACCAAGTAGAAAATTAAGACTGGCGAGTTAAGAGTACTGAAGGTTCCATGAATTTTCTTGTGAATTCTCATAAATATTTCAATCACTTTGAACAAACAATTCCCTGCATTTTGAATTACTCATTCAGAATTGTGAAAGCTAATTTGGCTCAATCATACAGATTAAAAGATAGAAGATAGAAGATAGAGGGAGAATGAGTAGTGGTCGTGGGAAGAATTTAATTGTTTAGAAAATCTCCACTCATTAAAAGCTTCATGTTTACTTGGCCGTAAGATACATGTAATTGGAAAAAGGTATTCTCATTTACTTCACAAGTGTTCTCTGGTAATGAGAACTATCCCAGAATAATTATGAAATACTGTAATTATTGGCATCATTTCTTAAGTATAATGTTACATTTATTATTATTTGCCCTGTTTTCCAGTTTCATATCATGGGGGAGGCATCAGTTCAAAGAAAATAGAGCAGTAACAAGCACTACTGAAGAAGAATTCTATGGAAGTGAAAAAGTTACACCTCTATATTCCCTATTACCTTGCTCGCCATGTATTGTCATTGAAAACCACAACTTGAGTCACAGATCATTAGCAGCTGCATTCCCCACCCCTTCGTAATACAAGGTCAATATTGCTCATAGGAAGTTGTCTTAATTAGGGTGGGGGGGGGGAATCCTTTGATATGCCATTTGTTTCCTGTCCCTTTTGAGGCCACTGGTGATAGTGATCCTCAGGTCATTTTAGGTATATACCCCGCTCACCACAAATTGCTGGCATGTAGCCGTCTTCCCTATTACTACTTGTGTGGTGCTGACACTTGGTCTCTTCTACGTCAGAGATTGCACACGTGACATACACAGGATCCTAAAACTGTGTTATGAAAGAAATTGTTAGGGATGTCTCTTATAAATACCACAGTACAGTTTATATATATTATTATACTGTGGATATATATTATTGACCTGCAAGATCTATAACATTAAAACTGTTCATCAGGGAATTCTTTGTCAGAATGAGTGTTCATCTCTTAGTACTGTATTTTGATGCCTTATTCTCCATTCCTAGAATTCACATTGATGACCACGACAAAATGGTATTCATATAGCCCTGGTGAAATAGTGTTCTGTGCTATCCTAACATAGTATATTTACTCTGTAATATAATCTCCAGTATTTTTGTGTATCTTCTCTAAAAACTTACAGTATTATCTTAGTGATTTATTTTATAACCAACTAAACTAGTGACCTGCTCTGCTTCCTCAGACCACCTACATTCTCTTTACCTTATGCTCCTCTGCAGATCACATACATCTTCCGTCCATTTGTGTATTACTGCCGCTTCCCCACCTGTGTATACTATGTGTATTTCCAAACCTTCAGTTTTGTTTGTATTACATTCCATAGTGTTTCCTATATATGTATTTACTATCCATTGGTCTTTGGTGGAAGTAGTATTCTGCAAGTTATTCTAGGTCATACATAAGAAAAGCTTTAACATTTATAATAAATAAAATGGGTCCAATCATATTTTTGTTTTGAACTTTCTAACCCTTTACCTTCTGTGTTTAATGTTTTGCACCAGAATAATCCATCACAATTTTGTCTTATTCTAATTTTCATGGTGGGTGGGGAGACTTCACTTCAAAAAAATTCTGATAGACGTCATATATTTCCACAAAATTATGTACTGTATAGTTGTACCACCACATTACGATAAATTATGCACCGACGCAATTCTCCTTTGGGAGGCAGTAACGGCATTTTACCTGGCTTAGCTCAAGTGTCGATAGGTAGTGATGGCCTGGTCTTTAGATCTGACTTGGTCCCTTATCCCATAGTCTGCTGCCTCTTACTCTCCACTCCTCTTACCTGAGAAGGCTATCTCTGAAGTTTTGTTGGCTGCAGCCCTTTATTGTCAACCAGTTGCTGTGTTTCTGGGATTTGCTCCTGCACGTCGGAGGCTGTCTGGTCCAGTTGGGGCCACGCCTGCTGTTGGTCAAGGTAGGTCCTCAGGAAAGTTGATTCCTGGGTCATTGTTCTTCCTACTATGAGTCTCTTCTGCTTGATATCTCTGCTACATGTAGCAGAGGGATGGTTCCACTTGTGGGTCATGCCGACACTTTTGCAGGGTCACCCCATTGACAGGCCTGTCTGGTGAGCATCATCTGGCTCGTTTTGCCAGCTCCTGGTCCCAAGATTCGTGGCCATTTTGGGTCGTCTACTTCAGTCTGGTGGAGTTGGTTGGTCACTTTTCCCATGTTGGGGTCGGGGCTTTTGGATCAGGATTTCTCCCCAGATCTGTGTTGTCGTTGTGGTTTTGTTGGAATCAAGCATGGTCAAGATTACCTTTGGTGGTGTCCCTATTGTTCCCAATCCTGATGCAGGACTCTGAAAATGTACGGTGCATCCTTAGTCTGTTGGGTTTGAACAGCTTCATTCCTTATCTGACCTTCTGCATAACCACCTTAGCTCAGGTTTTCATGTTGATACATGCATAGTGTACCTGGACCTCAAGGATACATATTGACATTCATATTCATCTGGGGTTCAAAGACTAGTTTGGTTTCATTGTGGGGCAACAGGCTTGGTGCTTCAGGGTTCTTGTCTTCGGCTTGAATATTGCTACCCACATCGGTGAGGTTATTGTGGGTCATTGTGGCACAGCTGTCTTTTGGATATGTGTGTGTTGCCTATCTCAGTGACTGGTTGGTTTTTGCTCCCAGTTGGTTCACTTGTCAGCTGGCCAGTGATCTGGTTGTTTTCCAGCTCACAGGGCTTGGGTTCCTGGTGACCTGGTGGAAATCCCATTTAGTTACATTCTGGTTTCAGACTTGGCTGGACACTGTTTGGGACACTGTCAGTTTTGTTGTCCCTGCCTCCAGTGCCTTTGATCTGCCTGCAGCTTCATTGCTGTCAAGTCTTGGATCAGCCCTGGGTGACACGGTTAGTTGAGCAGTTATGCGGGAACTTTGCCTGCAGGGTTTTCCCAATGGGCAGGGTTTGGCTCCAGGCATTCTAACAGTTTCTCCGGTTCCACCCTTTCTGCTGCTCCTGGGACCAGAGACTTTGCACCCTACTCACCCTTCATCAGCTATTGCTTCGCTGGCTTCCTCTTCGTGCTTTTCAAGGTTCAGCCCCATTGCATCATTCACTCCTATCGCACAATGTGTTCACAGATGCCTCGTCTCTGGGGCTTCGTGACAAGCACTCGCCATGCCACCCAGGATTGATGGTCGGATCCATTTCTTTGGGTACACAGTTTGAGTGCAAGTTTGCAGCTGTATAACATGTATGCTCTGTGGAAGATTTGGCTTCCTCCTATTTCCGTGCTTTTGTTCCACTGGCAGATTCCTGATTATTCATTGCTCGAACCGATTCGAGTCACCTCGGTCCCTCCTGTTTAGTTGAGCACTTCGTGTAGCTAGTCTTGTCTTCTTGAGGTTTGGTTCTCCACGCGGTTCACATGTGGGGTGTGTCCAGCATTCTCAAAGACTAGTTATGCTTTTGCCCCATTTCCATTAAGTAGACCATCAACAATGAGTCTTTGATGGTGCAGGTTTGCTCTTTTGGCCTTGGTGGGCATTTTGTTCATTTACAAAATTCTTTTCTGGCGAAGAATGGGTTGGCTGGCTTCCAGAAAGGGTCCTTTAGTGATTGATGCCTGCTTAGTTGTAGCTGGGATGTATAATTTGTTGTCCCAGGCTGTTCTTTGCTACTATCTGCAGAATACAGGTTCTGCCCATATTGAAGCATAGAGTTGATCCCATTTTCCTTGGTCTCCTGTTTGAAGGCTTGCATTTCCCTGATGTCCAGCGTCATTAAATCTAGCCAGGCTGCAGCCTCAGGCTCATGATATTTGCAAGTATGACACTTTGGCACGGGTCTTTTCCATCTTGTCCTGGATTAATTTTCAGGTTCGGGTTTGAGCATTCTATCTGGGTTCTAGTAGCTCTGTACTTGGTTGATGTTATTGGTCCCAGTCGGTCTTGTGCTTCTTTTCGCTGTATCTCCTGACCTGGCTTCTCTGTCCTAGTACCTGCCACCTCTTCTTTCTGGCAAGTCTCATATTTTCATTGTCTGTGCTTAGTTTGCTTCAGGGAGCCACCAGGGGGTGTCAGGGGCTTCCCCTAGAAATCCAGAACTGAATGTAATGAAATGCCTCTTTCTGGTTCAGTGCTAGATGTTGGCTCCCCAATTCCTGCCATTCCCTCCACGTTCACCAGTTCGTTGGTGGGTTGTTCATCTGCTTCAGAACTGGCCAGGAAAGCTGGCAATGGGCTGGGGCCAGGCCAACTGGTGGCTGCTGTCAGTACTAAGGTGGACGAGTAAATTTTGAGTGAATATCGTTTCATTTGAAATCTTTGCAAAGCTGTTTGCTGGTTTCGAGGCTTTCACAATTTTCTGGGAATCCTCCAGTTGTGTGTAAAGTCTTGCTTCCTTTCTGGATGCTTTTCCAGTGGGTCAAATTGTCACTGTGCATCTGTGAGGGGACCAGGTTCTGGCTCTGGTTCCCAGTAGGCCAAACAGAACTCTTACAACTGATTCATTGCCCCTTTAGATGAAGCAATCTTAGCCACCGGAGCTTTACCAGAAAGAGGCATTTTATTATAGTCATCACTCGTTATTCTGGGTTCCTAGTCATGATGGTGATGCCTCCAATAGCCTTGACATTGCTGCTAATGAAGCTGTTCAAGCCTGTCACATCTCCCAGAAGTGAATGGTATCTTCCAAACTCCATGTATGGTAGAATTTCTGGCTGAGGTACTGTTAAACATATCATGGTAGTGGGTAATGCATGTATTTTGGGTGTCCGGAAATTTGTCTCGCACCGTGTTGTATCCTATGATTTTCAGGATCAGAAGTTTTACTTTCCCAGTATTCTTTAGTTTTACATCCCTTTTACATCTTTTACATGAGGGTTTTTAGTTACATCGAACAAAGATTAGGGAAAGGATAGGTCCATTAAAAACTGAGACAGGTCAGATAACGGATAATGATGAAGAGATTAGTAGTATTTTTAATAAATATTTTATCTGTATTTATTAAAGAGAATTTAACACTATGCCTTCAGCCTAACCAGTCTGTGGGTTGGGACGAGGACAGGTTGACTAGTTTAGCAGTTACCAAGGAGGATGTTATTAAACAAATAGTAAAACTCAAACCAAACAAATTCCCAGGGCTGGATGAAGTGTTTGCCTAGGTGCTTAAAGAATGCAAAGAGGAGCTTTGCGAGCCACTGTCTACTATATTTAATAAATCAATAATCAGGCAGAGTGCCAGAGTCATGAAAGGTTGCTAATGTGGTACCAATTTTTAAGAAAGTTTGACGCAAGTGATCTATCTCCTATCAGCCAATTAGCTTAACGTCTATTGTGGGAGAGTTACTCGAATTGATAATTGCAAATAATATTCATCTTCATCTTGAAAAACAAATTAATAAATGATTCGCAACATGGTTTTACAAATGGCTGTTCATATTTAACAAATTTGCTATCTTTTTATTCCAGCATAGTTGAGGCAGTTGATAGTAGTAAGGATTGTGATGTGTACCTTTACTTTAGCAAAGCTTTTTATACAGTGCCACATGAAAGACTGATTAAAAAGATAGTCTCATGGTATTGGGGGTGCTATATTATGTTGGATTAGGGCATGGCTATACCAAAGGAAACAGAGTTAGTATAAATGGGGTTAAGTCAGAGTGGGAAAATGTTGTAAGTGGAGCGCCTCAAGGCTCTGTCCTGGGACCCATGTTGTTTATAATATATATAAATGATTTAGATTCAGGTTTGAATGGCAACATTTGCAAATTTGCTGATACAAAAATTGGTATGGAAATAAACACGGAAAAAGACTCGCTATCCACTTCAAGTCGATCTACATAGGGTTTTATAATGGTCAAAAGATTGGCAGATGCAGTTTAATGCTGATAAATGTAAAGTTTTGAGGCTAGGTAATGATGATAGATTTACAAGATACGAGCTAGATGGTGTCGAGATTGCTAAAGGGATGTGGGAGTTATGATTAGCAAGAATTTAAAACCAAAAGATCAATGCATGAAAGTTCGTAATAAGGCAAATAGGACACTGGGATTTATTAATCGAACCATTAGTAGCAAGGCAACTGTTCTTCAGCTATATCTTGCTCTGGTTAGGCCCCATTTAGATTATGCAGTTCAGTTTTGGTTGCCGTACTATAGAATGGATATAAATTCACTTGAACGTGTTCAGTGTAGGATGACGAAGTCAATTCCCCAAATTAGAAATCTTTCATATGAAGAAAGATTAACAAAGCTTAAATTGCATTCACTGAAAAGGTGAGGAGTTAGGGGGTGACATGATAGAGGTTTACAAGTGGATGAATGGACATAAAGGGGATATTAATATGGTATTAAAAGTATCAACACGAATCAATGGGTACAAATTGGATAAGTTTAGATTTAGGAAAGACTCGGGTAAATACTGGTTCGGTAACAGGGTAGTCGATTTGTGGAACCCATTACCGCATAACGTGGTGGAGGTGGGGTCCCTCAATTGTTTCAGGCATGGGTTGGACATGCATGTGAGTGGGATTGGGTGGCTATAAATAGGAGCTGCCTTGTATGGGACAATAGGCCTTCTGCAATTACCTTTGTTTTTATCTTCCCTAAACAAACGTTTTTGCTAAATTGATACCACTGACATCACTTACAGTGTCATTTTGCATATGTATTGTCATCTCAAATGTTATCTTGTTCTTGCCCACCTCTTGTCAAAGAACCATCGTGGTATGTTCAAATCTCTCTACAGCAACCATTCCTGGGTCCTGGTTTAAATATACTTTCATAAATGGTAATAATACTGATAATATTAAGCATGGTTGACAAATAAAAATGCATTTAATTCTGATTTGTTTTATTGTTTGCCAGTGTCATCTTTTTTTCCTTCCTTTTTTTTTTGTTTGTTTTTGTTTTTGGTAAACTTTTTACAGTTGCGCTTGCATTGTGTGCCAGGGGGGGGGGGGGGGGGGAGGGTTAGGGGTTACCTTGAAAGACCAGGTGAAGTAATCATATGGCATTACACATTTGAATAATGTTCCAGTGGGCACTATATCCAAGAATGATGTTGGTTCGACGTTGATTCGGCATTGAATTGGTGTTGCTCTTTAATATTGTGCCCACTAGGATAGTGCATTTTAAGACAGGATGGATTTATTAAGTCAGGTTAGGTCACAGTAAGTCAGAACAGGCCATAAAGTCAGGTTACATAATATTGTAGTAAGTTTCTTAAAAGTTACAGTAAAATCAGCTGTGAAATTGAAGATGGTTAAGTCATCATGTAAAGATGTTACAAAAGTCAGAGATTATTAACTATTTAGTTAAGCTGGATAATATTTATCTTGATACCATACAGTATTTAACAGGGTTAGTTGGTCCTATTATGTCAATTTTTCACAATTTGGATAGATCGTGTAAATCTGGTCATGGTTCTCGGGCATAGCTCTAACCAAGCAAGACCAGATAGAAATCGAAGCCAAACTTCCCTGTTGTATTAATCTCGATATGTCTGATTATTGTTTTGGCACAAAAATTACCATTTCATTTCAAAACTGCAAAACTGCTTTAATTAACCACTGTTGCACAAGCTTTATTGAATTCAGTTATGGATTCCAACATTACTTCATCATTTGGCACAAAAATTGACTTTGGCACAGTTATGTGTGGGTTTGATCCTAATGTCCAGATCACACTATAGTGACTTCAGTCCCCCCTACTCTACAACAGCGGAGGTCAGACAAAACGGCACAAGAGCCAATGGAGTTCAACCGAACTCCCCAGACGAGCAGATCAACACAAGCTTTTTGCCTTCTCCTACTCCCTCTGGGATATTAATGATCTAGAATTCAAGTATTTATAACTAGCAACTTGCATTCGTTTAACCCTTCTCTGGTGGAGAAGCGAGACACTAAATCCCAAATATTAGGAAACTGTTTTCTGTTACTACCAACTCTAAACGTAAAGTGTCAGTTTTTCTATTTTTTTGTTTTTGACATGGTGGTTTGGCACAGTCATGTTCCTTCATGAAGTTGGAAGATCAAAAAGATGAACCATTGTGAAGGATGAGAGTGATAGTTCAACAAGCATCTGACAGATGACCCAGAGATACAATTCGAACCAATTTCACAAAGGAGACAACAAAAGTCCCTTTGAGTAGGAAGTACTTGATCCAATGGTACCGAGTGCTCTAGTCACTATAGCACGTATTGTAGTTATGGACATTTATGTCAGTGCATGGGGCTGTCATACTAATATTTGTCACGAGAGCTGCTGTGATTGTTGTTAAAAGTCAGGGGGAGTATATTTTTGAGTATTTTAGGGGATTGGGGGGGGGGGATGCTGTGGCAATTGTCTGTTTTGGGGAAGTACCTTGGCAGCTATCATAATTCAGAGGGGGGGGGGGGGTGCTATGGCAGCTATCTTAGTTGGAAAGAAGATAGGTGCCATGGCAGGTATTGTAGTTTTAGTGAAGGGGGGTGAGGTGCTATGGAGGATGCCTAGTATTCCTGCCCCTCCTCCTCTTCGCCTTCACCCTCAGCAGAGTCAAGTCCCACCTCCTCATAGTCCTTCTCGAGGGCCGCCAAGTCCTCTCGTGCCTCTGAGAACTCGCCCTCCTCCATGCCCTCACCGACGTACCTACAAAGATCACATGTTATTTATACTGTGTCACAAGTCTACACTTACCACCAGAGACAAAATTTAGTTAACCACTTTACCTCTTCCCCCCCCCCCCCAATGTCATGGTTAATCTTTTTAAACAAATCCTGCCCAACTTAACAAAATACTTCATAAGTCAAAATTTTGTTTCATATTGTGTGTGACAATGTTCAATGTTGGTACAATACAGATTTTAGATCTTACTGGACACGACAAGAGTCCAAACATCTCCAAAAATCTATCCTCTAGCGCTGGCTAAATGCTCTTAAAGGGCCATCTTCCCAGCTTTTTCAAAATTTGCGAACTCTTGTATAGATTGTTTGTTTACGATTGATCGATTCTTGTTTACGATTGTTAATGTAATCTGCTCAATGAAAAATTATTCTGATATAACAAGGCATCCAAGAATAACAAATTTAACATTATCAATGTTTTCAAATTTTATCAAAGTTGCACAAACTTCAAACAAAGTTATCAACTTTAATAAAAGTTGATTCAACGTTGTATCAACGTTATTGATGGTTTGAAATGTACCCAGTGTGAATATTTTTAAATCAGTAGGCTCAAAATCTATTAAAAAGCGTCTTGAGTAAGGGTTGAAGCACGAGTTACTCACCAATGAACGAAAGCTCGTTTGGCATACATTAAGTCAAACTTGTGGTCGAGACGAGCCCACGCCTCGGCGATTGCGGTGGTGTTAGAGAGCATGCAGACGGCGCGGGCCACCTTGGCTAGGTCCCCTCCAGGAACCACCGTCGGGGGCTGGTAGTTGATGCCTACCTGCCTCACACAAACATAATTAATGAAACTGCAGCAGACCTATTGGCAGTACGAGCTCTGTGCCAATAGGGACTGTTCCTATTTCCTCAATGTTCATGAGAAAATTAGACACGTTCGTACAAGAAGTAACAGACTGTGTTGTTGTAGATATGTGGACCTGCAGGATGCTGTAAGAAACAATCTATTGAACCAAGTTATCATTTCAAGCTAGGGCCCCAGGATGGGCTTGGGAGTAGAAGAACTCCCAGACCCCACTAAAAGGTACATTGCAGGTCCTGTTTATATCCACCCAAACCACTATTTGTCTAACCTCTTGTTGAAACAATCCACCGATCCCACTATTATGACATCCGGTAATTTGTTTAATAAATCAACAACTTTCTTCTCAAACTAGTATTTACCCAGGTCTTCGATATAAATTGGATCTATTTAGATTTATCAATATCTCTCTTAGTTTATTATGAACCTCAGTCGTCCTGTGGGCTTGACAGAGGTTAGTCACATAATGAACATATCAATTGTGACACTAGCTCTCCACATATGTCAGTTGCTTAATTTAGAAACTGTACTTGTGGTCGATCTCGAACCCATTGTTGATGTGACGACTGATACTGAATGTTGTAACTAGCTCATCAAGATTGTAACTTGCTTAGCTAAATGAATTGTGGGGTTCAGTCCCTGAGCCCATTATGTGCCTCTGTAACCCTTTCCACTACCGCCCACAAGATGGGTATGGGGTGCATAATAAATGAACTAAACTAACTATTCTCTAGAGACTCCTCTGGGGTCCACAGGAGGGTGTATATATTACCTTGCTTAAAGAACATGAGGAGTGACTATGTACACTCATCATTGGAGACAGCTACCCACCTTGAAGCCTGTTGGGCACCAGTCCACGAACTGAATGGTCCTTTTGGTCTTGATGGCGGCGATGGCAGCATTGACGTCCTTGGGCACAACATCGCCCCGGAAAAGGAGGCAACAGGCCATGTACTTGCCGTGGCGAGGGTCACACTTCACCATCTGCAAGGCACCACATATTGTGCGATTCAAATTGTGTACAGATCATCTGACAACATGTCGTCAACATGTCATACAGAATGTCATGCATATGGCCAACACAAGATGGTTCTTGTTCCAGAAAATGAAATGTTTTTGTTAAAGTTTTAGCTACTCAGGATGAAGTGTCCATGTAGCACGGGCTATGGTGAGCCCGTAATGGAAAATGAAAATAAAAGTATGGTTATATTTCAGCTGGAGTGCAGCTTAGTGCCCACGTGGGGAGGGAGGTGGGGTGCAGCCTAGTGCCCCCGTGGGGAGGGAGGTGGGGTGCAGCCTAGTGCCCCCGTGGGGAGGGAGGTGGGGTGCAGCCTAGTGCCCCCGTGGGGGAGGGGGTGCAACCAGGTGCCCAGGTGGGGAGGGGGTGTGCAGCCTAGTGTCCACCGGGGGTTCAGTTTAGTGTCAGCTGGTGTAAACTGTGTTTACCATCAGGTGAAAAAGTTTCTACCATGATTTACAAACAAGATTAAATCTAGAACACTAAGCTAGTGCCGGGTAGGGGCGGGTTGGAGTAGGTGGGGTCTAAACCCTGAGAGAAGTATGCACCCTTTACGTTACTCAACCGTCCGGAGGCATGACGGCTGAGTAGACAGCGCTCGGAGTTCGTAGTCCTAAGGATCCGGGTTCGATCCCTGGCGGAATGGAAACAAATGGACAGAGTTTCTTTCATCCTAATGGCCTGTTCACCTAGCAGTAAGTAGGTACCTGGGAGTTATCTGCTACGGGCTGCTTCCTGGGAATGTGTGTGTGTGAAAATTAGGATTAAGGACTTGCCCGAAACGCTGTACGTGCTAGTGCCTGTACAAGAATGCAACAACTCTTGTATATATGTCATAACAAAAACTTACGTCTCTATAAGCCAACTCGGCCTAACCTAACTTGATGAAAGCAAGAGAACATTGTGTGTTTTATATGAAGTGTGACGTCAGTGGCGTCATAATGTTCATGCCGGCTGTGGCAGCTACCGTCCACAGTCTTCAGGTCCTACCGTACGCGGTCTTCAGGTCCTACCGTACGCGGTCTTCAGGTCCTACCGTCCACAGTCTTCAGGTCCTACCGTCCACAGTCTTCAGGTCCTACCGTCCACAGTCTTCAGGTCCTACCGTCCACAGTCTTCAGGTCCTACCGTCCACAGTCTTCAGGTCCTACCGTCCACAGTCTTCAGGTCCTACCGTCCACAGTCTTCAGGTCCTACCGTCCGCAGTCTTCAGGTCCTACCGTCCGCAGTCTTCAGGTCCTACCGTCCGCAGTCTTCAGGTCCTACCGTCCGCAGTCTTCAGGTCCTACCGTCCGCAGTCTTCAGGTCCTACCGTCCGCAGTCTTCAGGTCCTACCGTACACAGTCTTCAGGTCCTACCGTACACAGTCTTCAGGTCCTACCGTACACAGTCTTCAGGTCCTACCGTACACAGTCTTCAGGTCCTACCGTACACAGTCTTCAGGTCCTACCGTACACAGTCTTCAGGTCCTACCGTACACAGTCTTCAGGTCCTACCGTACACAGTCTTCAGGTCCTACCGTACACAGTCTTCAGGTCCTACCGTACACAGTCTTCAGGTCCTACCGTACACAGTCTTCAGGTCCTACCGTACACAGTCTTCAGGTCCTACCGTACACAGTCTTCAGGTCCTACCGTACACAGTCTTCAGGTCCTACCGTACACAGTCTTCAGGTCCTACCGTACACAGTCTTCAGGTCCTACCGTACACAGTCTTCAGGTCCTACCGTACACAGTCTTCAGGTCCTACCGTACACAGTCTTCAGGTCCTACCGTACACAGTCTTCAGGTCCTACCGTACACAGTCTTCAGGTCCTACCGTACACAGTCTTCAGGTCCTACCGTACACAGTCTTCAGGTCCTACCGTACACAGTCTTCAGGTCCTACCGTACACAGTCTTCAGGTCCTACCGTACACAGTCTTCAGGTCCTACCGTACACAGTCTTCAGGTCCTACCGTACACAGTCTTCAGGTCCTACCGTACACAGTCTTCAGGTCCTACCGTACACAGTCTTCAGGTCCTACCGTACACAGTCTTCAGGTCCTACCGTACACAGTCTTCAGGTCCTACCGTACACAGTCTTCAGGTCCTACCGTACACAGTCTTCAGGTCCTACCGTACACAGTCTTCAGGTCCTACCGTACACAGTCTTCAGGTCCTACCGTACACAGTCTTCAGGTCCTACCGTACACAGTCTTCAGGTCCTACCGTCCAGTCTTCAGGTCCTACCGTACACAGTCTTCAGGTCCTACCGTACACAGTCTTCAGGTCCTACCGTCCAGTCTTCAGGTCCTACCGTACACAGTCTTCAGGTCCTACCATACACAGTCTTCAGGTCCTACCGTACACAGTCTTCAGGTCCTACCGTACACAGTCTTCAGGTCCTACCGTACACAGTCTTCAGGTCCTACCGTACACAGTCTTCAGGTCCTACCGTACACAGTCTTCAGGTCCTACCATACACAGTCTTCAGGTCTTACTGCAGAGTGGAGCTACAGTATACCTGATTAGCGGGTTCGAAACAGGCGTTGGTGATCTCTGCGACGGAGAGCTGCTCGTGGTAGGCCTTCTCTGCGGAGATGACGGGGGCGTAGGTGACCAGCGGGAAGTGGATGCGAGGGTAGGGCACCAGGTTGGTCTGGAACTCCGTCAGGTCCACGTTCAGGGCGCCGTCGAACCTGCAACACCACATTAAAACATGTTACAAGACACTCGCTTCACCACACATCCGGACTACAACCTCATCGCTCACACATAGGATACGAATTAACCTAAAATTAACCGAGCCTAACCTATTGATATTTACGGCTAAGATAGTCAGAAAACGAGCTGTGTCGAACCGTCTTCTATACCATTTGACCACTCCGCCTCATAAATGCATACATATATGTATATATAATAATTATTAATTATAAATGCATATGCATCACTAATTTATCCTCAGGGTAAAGCGATTACCATGAAACACCGAACCTATTCTCACACCACCTCCATAGTTCTCTTGAATGCAGGCGGGAGATATACATAATAATTTACACGTGGAAATTATGACAGGGACTGGTCCTAAACCCAAACCTGCACACAGATATAACACCACACGAGACCAGAAGGCATGGCAGGATGTGCAGAATACCCCAGTTTGAAAACAGGTGCAATAGGTACTCAGAGAGAACTCTATCAAAATCAGAAGTCCGAGACTGTTCAACATGCTTCCACTACACATAAGGGGCATAACTGGCAAACCCCTCACAGTGTTCAAGAGAACTTGATAAACGCCTCCAAAAGATATTTTATCAACCAGGCTGTGATTCATACGTCAGGCTGCGAGCAGCCGCGTCCAACAGCCTGGTTGACCATCCAACACCCAGGATGCCCAATTGAGGACCGGGCCATGGGTACGTTGAACCCCAAAATTATTGCAAGGTTACTGCAAGGTAAGGTAGTTATCTAAATATTTGGGATGGTCTGAAAGGATATTACGGTTTCAATAATAGTTTACTTGTAAGTGGCAATTGAACCTTTGTCCTAAACAAAGAATATTCAAAATTTATAACTTTATTGTATTATAAGTTGTTGTTGAAGTTCTCGGTGTACAGCTGTAGATCTTGTAGATCTGAGGCAAAGTGAAATTGACACCAGTAATTCCATCTATCATCATACTATCATGCAAGAGGAGCCACACATCTATGGATCATCCAATAAAATCAGCAGACTTCTAGATGTTACTACTGCTCGGCTTAGACTCGGTTACAAGTATCTCTGGGAATTCTCATTATCTGCCGATGTAGACCTGACCAAATGTAAACTGTGTCAACAGAATTATTCGCACACCCTCCGTCACTATGTGATGGAGTGCGAAAAGATACGTGAATTTAGAGACAATTCTATAACAAATGTTCCAGCGATGTGTAAATATTTCATTCAAAATGATCTGCTACCAGAATTTTAGCCAATTATCCCCAGTTTGCTAACTGTAGATAGTAACTAAGTGATTGTAACCTATCCACCGCTGCCCACTGGATGGGGGGCGGTGTGCAGGACAAACATATCAATTGTGACACTAGCTCTCCACATATGTCAGTTGCTTAATTTAGAAACTGTACTTGTGGTCGATCTCGATCCCATTGTTGATGTGACGACTTATACTGAATGTTGTAACTAGTTCATCAAGATTGTAACTTGCTTAGCTAAATGAATTGTGGGGTTCAGTCCCTGAGCCCATTATGTGCCTCTGTAACCCTTTCCACTACCGCCCACAAGATGGGTATGGGGTACATAATAAATGAACTAAACTAACTAATAAGTTGTTAGCTTAAAATACAAAAGAGCCTATGCTTAACTCTGTTTCTGAGAAAGGTATGAAGATTTTTTTTCCCATGTCCAGGCTGGTGTGACCCGTGGCAGTACACTAGACTGAGTGAAGTTCAGTAAATGGCTCTGTTCCCTTATTTATTATTATAAATTTATTTTTATGTTAGAGTAAAAGAAAATAATGAAAGTTATTAACAGAAACAATCTCAAGGCTCTTTGTGCACGAACTGTGGCTCTGCTGCTCCTGCCATGCTTAACCCTGTGTCGCCTCCACCACACACCTGTAGCAAAGGGGCCTCCACAACCCCACACACCTGTTACAAGGGGGCCTCCACAACCCCCACACACACCTGTCACAAGGGGGCCTCCACAACCCCACACACCTGTCACAAGCGTCCCACTCTAACCCACACTTCTAGCAAGGGGTTCACAAGGGCAGCTCCCAGCAGACACACTCACCCAGCAGACACACTCACCCAGCAGACACACTCACCCAGCAGACACACTCACCCAGCAGCGAGTGTAGTACTGGCTGCCAGACTCGGGTGACGGGAAGCAATACCTGAGGGAGGCGGTGATGGAGGAGACGATCTGGCCAATAAGACGGTTGAGGTTGGTGTAGGTGGGACGTTCGATGTCTAGATTCCTCCGACAGATGTCATAGATGGCCTCGTTGTCGACCATGAAGGCGCAGTCAGAGTGTTCCAGGGTCGTGTGGGTTGTGAGGATGGAGTTGTAGGGTTCCACAACCGCTGTTGCCACCTGTGATACACAGAGCCGTCTGTCAGTCATCACCCGCCCTGACCTCACCCACAACACACACCACAGCCGTCTGTCAGTCATCACCCGTCCTGACCTCACCCACAACACACACCACAGCCGTCTGTCAGCCATCACCCGCCCTGACCTCACCCACAACACACACCACAGCCGTCTGTCAGCCATCACCCGCCCTGACCTCACCCACAATACACACCACAGCCGTCTGTCAGTCATCACCCGCCCTGACCTCACCCACAATACACACCACAGCCGTCTGTCAGTCATCACCCGCCCTGACCTCACCCACAACACACACCACAGCCGTCTGTCAGCCATCACCCGCCCTGACCTCACCCACAATACACACCACAGCCGTCTGTCAGTCATCACCCGCCCTGACCTCACCCACAACACACACCACAGCCGTCTGTCAGCCATCACCCGCCCTGACCTCACCCACAATACACACCACAGCCGTCTGTCAGTCATCACCCGCCCTGACCTCACCCACAACACACACCACAGCCGTCTGTCAGCCATCACCCGCCCTGACCTCACCCACAACACACACCACAGCCGTCTGTCAGCCATCACCCGTCCTGACCTCACCCACAACACACACCACAGCCGTCTGTCAGCCATCACCCGTCCTGACCTCACCCACAACACACACCACAGCCGTCTGTCAGTCATCACCCGTCCTGACCTCACCCACAACACACACCACAGCCGTCTGTCAGCCATCACCCGTCCTGACCTCACCCACAACACACACCACAGCCGTCTGTCAGTCATCACCCGCCCTGACCTCACCCACAACACACACCACAGCCGTCTGTCAGTCATCACCCGCCCTGACCTCACCCACAACACACACCACAGCCGTCTGTCAGCCATCACCCGTCCTGACCTCACCCACAACACACACCACAGCCGTCTGTCAGTCATCACCTGTCCTGACCTCACCCACAACACACACCACAGCCGTCTGTCAGTCATCACCCGTCCTGACCTCACCCACAACACACCACAGCCGTCTGTCAGTCATCACCCGCCCTGACCTCACCCACAACACACACCACAGCCGTCTGTCAGTCATCACCCGCCCTGACCTCACCCACAATACACACCACAGCCGTCTGTCAGTCATCACCCGCCCTGACCTCACCCACAATACACCACAGCCGTCTGTCAGCCATCACCCGCCCTGACCTCACCCGCCCTGACCTCACCCACAACACACACCACAGCCGTCTGTCAGTCATCACCCGTCCTGACCTCACCCACAATACACCACAGCCGTCTGTCAGCCATCACCCGCCCTGACCTCACCCACAACACACCACAGCCGTCTGTCAGCCGTACCATCGGTAAATTTGCAACTATTGCTGTTCAAACCTGAATCTAAATCATTAATAATTTATAAATTATGAAAAACAGAGGTCCCAGGACAGAGTCTTGAGGCGAGTTACAACATTTTCCCACTCTTACTCAACTTCATTTATATTAATTCTTTGTTTCCTTTGGTATAGCCATGCCCTAATCCAACTTAATATAGCACCTTCCCCCCATACCATTAGCCTCTATCTTTTTAATCAGTCTTGCATGTGGCACTGTAACAAAAGCTTTGCTAAAGTCAAGGTACACAACATCACAATCCTTACCACTATCAACTGCCTCAACTATGCTGGAATAAAATGATGGCAAATTTGTTAAATATGAACGGCCATTTGTAAAACCATGTTACGACTCATTCAATAATTTTTGTTTTTCAAGATGAAGACGAATGGTATTTGAAATTATCGTTTCAAACAACTTTCCCACAATAGACGTTAAGTTAATTTGCCGATAGTTTTATGAAAGTGATCTATCTCCTTTCTTGAAAATTGGTACTACATTAACAACCTTCCTCGACTCGGGCACTCTGCCTCACTAACGATTTATTAAATGTAGTAGACAATGGCTCGCAAAGCTCCTCTTTGCATTCTTTAAGCACCCTGGCAAACACTTCGTCTGGCCCTGGGGATTTGTTTGGCTTAAGTTTTACTATTTGTTTAATAACATCCTCCCTGGTAGCTGCTAAACTAGTCAACCTGGCCTCTTCACCACCCACAGACTTGTTCAGCTGAAGGCATAATGTTAAGTTCCTCTTTAGTAAACACAGAGATAAAATATTTATTTAAAATACTAATCTCCGTCATTATCAGTTATCTGACCTGTCTCAGATTTTAAATGGACTTATCCTTTCCCTAATCTTTGTTCGATATAACTGAAAAAAAAAACCCTTTAGGATTTGTCTTTGCTTGCCCTGCTATGAGAACTTCATAGTTTCTTTTTGCCTTCCTTATCTCTTCTTTTTAACATTTCTAACCAGTTGTACGAATTCCTGTTCAAAACCGACTTCTCCATTCTTAATCCTTTTGTACCACGCTCTCTTTCTACTTTAAGGTTCTTCAGATCCTTTGTTATCTATTTCAGGTCATTATTATTCGATCTGTTCAATTTGTATGATATACTACGTGTCTGTGCTTTGCTTAGAATATTTTTAAATAAGGTATATTTCGAATCCAAATATAAATCCCTTTTTACGTCACCTATCGCTGGGTTCACGTCTCGCTCCAAGACCGGCCCCCCCCCCATGCCCAAGACTTTCAAGTCTAGTACCTGTACACCCAACAAATTTCTTAAGCCATCAAAATCAGCTTTTCGGATGATGGCTGAAAATTATAGCAAATTTATTAAACATGAATGGCCGTTAGTAAAACCATGTTAAAAACCAGATTAATAAATGATTCACAAGATGATGACGAACGGTATTTACAATTATCGATTCAAGTAACTTTCCCCACAATAGACTTCCACACATTTGCATCCTCATATATTTCAACCTTGTGCTTCAAACTTACACTATCTTGTAGTACTCACTTCCCCCAAAATTAGTACTCAAGACCAATTAAGTACTTAATATTTACCAGTGTAAACACTTCTGTCAATTTATATTGTTGATATAAAACCTTGCTACAATGTACCTTTTCATCTCGCCTGATATGCTAGATTAAGGACCTGTCCGAAATGCTTATGGGTGTTGGTGCTTTTGCAAGAATGAACAAATATCACTAATGTAATCTCACCAACTTATTGAACCTTCTTGTAAATAATAATAATAATAATAATTTATTATTATTATTATTATTATTATTATTATTATTATAGACGTTAAGCTAACTGACTGCCGATTGTTTGACGCAGGTGAGCTATCTCCCTTCTTGAAAATTGGCACCACATTAGCAACCTTCCACGACTCTGGCACTCTACCTCACTAATGATTTATTACAAAGGGTAGACAATAGCCAGGATGTATTAAACAGGAATACCGTCTGTCTCAGGGAGGCAGACCATACTGCTTCCCTGAGAGGCCCTCTCACTTATTTTATAACTTTCCTATTTTATAACTTGGACGAGGAAATGAATGTTAATAAGCGTCACCAGAAGGCGGGAGTTATGAGAGAGTGACTATTACAGCACCAGGAAAGGGGTCGGAAGACTCACCTGAGGGGCAGGGTAGATAGCAAATTCTAGCTTGCTCTTCTTGCCGTAGTCTACCGACAGTCGCTCCATGAGGAGGGAGGTGAAGCCGGAGCCAGTGCCACCACCAAATGAGTGGAAAATAAGGAATCCTTGTAGACCTGCGGCGGAGCAGCGGGGCGAGCCCGCACCACGTTAGAAAAAGGTAAACAGCTAAAAAAAAATGGAAATTAAAGTCACCCCTGAACATTTTCTATGATATCTTGAGACGTTTACTTAAATCTTAAACGCTCGACGTGGCTACATAGTCACATTATTATTATTATTATTATTATTATTTAAATCTTAGGGTCACATAATAATGTGCTGCTACCCGATTCTATATGAGGGATTGCCGACTATAAATCAAAATGCTGCTACGAGTTCACCTAATATCCCCAGCTAACAGGATACAAACCCAGGCCAAAGCGCTCTCGAAACCCCAGGAGAGTGCCTTACCACTACACCATGGGGGCTGCTAAAATATATAGTTGGAGAGTGTCGTACCTCTTGTTCACAGTCTGGTGTTTGAACTGTCATCACTGGGAGAGTCATTACCTGCAGCCACCTGCCGTAACTATCACAGTCTAATTCTGGCGATTATAATGTCTTACTGTCTGATGCTTGGGTATGGGGTCCACTACCACCCACAGGACAAGTATGGGGTCCACTACCACCCACAGGACAAGTATGGGGTTCACTACACAACACCCTCACTACACCCACCTGTGCACTGGTCAGCCAGCTTGCGGACCTTCTCCAGGACGACGTCGACGATCTCCTTGCCAATGGTGTAGTGGCCCCGGGCGTAGTTGTTGGCGGCGTCCTCCTTGCCGGTGATGAGCTGCTCCGGGTGGAAGAGCGCCCGGTAGGTTCCCGTCCGCACCTCATCTGTCAGCACAGGCACCCAGCTGCAGTGGTGATTGGTCGATGATTGATAAAGATTAAGCCACCCAAATGATGGCACGGGCTTGAATAGCCCGTAATACAGTGGTGGGCACGCTAACGTAATTGTAGGTGGGACCCGAGGCTGCAGTGGTGTGGGGGAGACACTTGCATATCACTTGTGCTCTGCCCCTTAACCCATTATGCTCTAGATCACCCTAGACTCCATTTATGCTGCTCTAGATAAGACCACCAGGAGTCCCCACAGTGGGGCTGGTAACTGACCCCCCACCCTGGGAGGTGACCCCCCAGCCTGGGAGGTGAGCATGTAGACTCAACCCTCCCAAACATGCATCACTATACTTACATGCTCCAAGAGTCTGGTTCACTCTAAATCTCGCTGGTGAAAAACTCATTGATATAATTACTTCCCAGCCGGTAACCTACCCGCTCTCTAACCTTCCAACAGCAAATTCTATCCCTCTCCAACCGGTATTATATATATATCTCACACACCGGTATTCTGCATCTATCCTACCTTCCAGATGATATATCCTGCCAGCTCCTCAACCGGTATCCTGCTCCTCCCCCAACTGGATATCCTTCCTCCCCCGCCCCTACCGGTGTGCCCCGTCCGCCCCGCCCCTCTCACCTATGACAGAAGGCTCCAGGTCAACAAAGACAGCACGAGGGACGTGCTTGCCCGAGCCCGTCTCGCTGAAGAAGGTGTTGAAGGAGTCGTCACCGCCGCCCACCGTCTTGTCTGAGGGCATCTGGCCGTCGGGCTGGATGCCATGCTCCAGGCAGTACAGCTCCCAGCAGGCATTACCGATCTGCACGCCGGCCTGGCCCACATGCACGCTGATACACTCACGCTGTCGACAAGAAATGACGACAACGATGCTGAAAATTGGACATCCAACCCAATGTGAAAGTAAACGGAATTGACAATGTTTCGGTCCA